TTGATTTTACTTCGTAATTTTTATTATATTCCGTATTGGCCAATATTTCAAAGCTTAAAGTATAAAATAGTGATGTTTATATCTTGAAATGTGAGTAAGAAAAGGAAACATAAGTTTTCTAGAGCATAAAACAGTCGGCGCCTTTTTGGTGCAGCAGGCCACACCGTGTGGCCTGCTTCCAAGTCAGCAAAATAACGGAGAACGATGCGCGTTTAACGGGATTAGGAAACAAGCGCTGAACAAAATGGCTCTACAAAACACGCGCAAATTTCTAAACCTTAAAACCCATAACAGCTCATTTACGAGGAACGAATGCGAAAATTGAGCGAAACCTCACACAATTTTTCTTCCAGAAATTAAAGAATAACAATGGCAGAAGAATTCGAAAAAATACCTGATTCACAAGAATCATTAGAGATCGAACAAATTGAAGATTCTTTGATGAATCTTGAAATCCAAACCAGTAATCAGGTATTGGATCTGGAAGATGAAAACAGATACAATGAAATTGAAGAAATTAACAAGTAACCCCTGTAAAATTAACATGTAACCCCTGTAAAACTAATAACTAACCCCTGTAAAATTAACAAGTAACCCCTGTTAAACTAACAAGTAACCCCTAAAATAAACAAGTAACCCTAACAAAAATTAACAAGTAACCCCTGTTAAACTAACAAGTAACCCCTAAAGTAAACAAGTAATCATAACAAAAATTAACAAGTAACCCCTAAAATAAACAAGTAACCCTAACAAAAATTAACAAGTAACCCCCTATAAAATTAACAAGTAACCTCTGTTAAACTAACAAGTTACCCCTAAAATAAACAAGTAACCCTAACAAAAATTAACAAGTAGCCCCTAAAATAAACAAGTAACCCTAACAAAAATTAACAAGTAGCCCCTAAAATAAACAAGTAACCCTAACAAAAATTAACAAGTAACCCCTATAAAATTAACAAGTTACGCCTGTTAAACTAACAAGTAACCCCTAAAATAACAAGTATCCCTAACAAAAATTAACAAGTAACCCCTAAAATAAACAAGTAACCATAACAAAAATTAACAAGTAACCCTTGTTAAACTAAAAAGTAACCCCTAAAATAAACAAGTAACCTTAACAAAAATTAACAAGTAACCCCTAAAATAAACAAGTAACCCTAACAAAAAATAACAAGTAACCCCTATAAAATCAACAAGTAACCCCTAAAATAAACAAGTAACCCTAACAATAGTTAACAACTAACTCCTAAAATAAACAAGTAACCCTAACAAAAATTAACAAATAACCCTAACAATAATTAACAAGTAACCCCTAAAATAAACAAGTAACCCCTATAAAAATTAACAAGTAACCCTAACAAAAATTAACAAGTAACCCCTAAAATAAACAAGTAACCCTAACAATAATTAACAAGTAACCCCTAAAATAAACAAGTAACCCTAACAAAAATTAACAAGTAACCCCTATAAAATTAACAAGTAACCCTAACAAAAATAAACAAGTAACCCTAATAAAAATTAACAAGTAACCACTATAAAATTCAACAAGTAACCCCTGTATAATTAACAAGTAACCCCTAAAATAAACAAGTAACCCTAACAAAAATTAACAAGTAACCCTAACAAAAATTAACAAGTAACCCCTGTTAAACTAACAAGTAACCACTAAAATAAACAAGTAACCCTGACAAAAATTAACATGTAACTCCTAAAAATATCAAGTAACCCCTATAAAACTAATAAGTAACACCTGAAATTTAACAAAAATTAACAAGTAATCCCTCTAACTCAATAACAAATTCTGTAAAACTAACAAGTAACTCTTAATAAACTTCGAGTAACAAGTAATAACCCCCTAAAACTTTACAAATAACCCTTGTAAAATCAATAAGTAACCCCTCCCTATAAAACCAACGAGTAACCCCTAAAACAAGTACACTGTAATTTTTAAAAGTAATCCCTACATAATGAAAAAAGTAACTATTGTTGTATCTTCTACATTAGCAAACTCCTCCAGCATCTTCTTAGCAGCCTCCATTTCATCTGCCTTTTTTTTTCTTTTCATTCTCTAGTAATTCTTCATAAATTGCTTGATTTCTACTCACGAATTCTTTCACACCACCAAGAACAATCTCACGATACTTGTTCAAATTGCAGATCATATATGACAGAAAAATCGAAAAATTACTAAAATTAGGGTTTGATTTATATCAAAAGTAGGAGAGTTCAGTGTATATGTCGATCCTTTCTTTCCCTTGGGGAAGATTATCTTGATTTTAGTCATTATCAACGAAAAGAACAATTTAGAGGAGAAGAATTCGAGGAGAGAGAAAATGGAAGAAGAATAGTTTGAGGAGAGAGAAAATGAAAACAGAGAAAATGAGAAAACTTTGGGAAAGAAGAACCTTTTGATGTAATAAAATGAAAAAAAAGAAAAACACCTTTTTTTAATTTAAAATAACGGACCCGTTTGGTATAACGGAGTCCATTATATGAAACGGACTGGGCACACCATGTGACCAGCCACATATAAAAATTTGCCTACAACAGTGTTGTAAATTAAGCCAACAACAACTAGGTTTTAATTAGACTTAACACAACTAATCTTATTTTAATGTCCTAATTGTTACTCGCAACTAGATAATCGAAAAAATTGACGTGACATGAACTAATGCTAGCTTTTGAATTTAAGTGTGGTTGAGATTGATTTATAATCTACTGATCCAAAATAAATCAATTGACATTACAATCAAAAGTTACTCTACTTGAACTCACTTGTACTACTCAAGAATAATACTTAGGGCCTGTTTTCTTACGTTAGAAATTCAGTTCAGTTCAGTTCAGTCCAGCTCAGTTTAGTTCAGTTCAGCTCCTAACTTCCTTCTCTTATAAAATATTCATTTCAATTCAGTCAATGAGAACAGACCCTTAGTATTTGAATCCATTGAATTCAACTATTATATTTAATTTAAGTATCATTCTATATTTCTTAAAATGTTAACTAACAAAACTAGATAATAATTTTTTTTTTCTTAAAGAAAAATACACTCGCACTTGTTAGAAAAATCTTGTTATAGTGTACATTATCAAGAGAAATACTAAGTACGGAGTATATAAATAATACTAACTCCGTTTCTAAAAGTTCGATTCACTTACTATTCATATGGTCAAAATAAAATAACTGTGACCATATTTTATGAGCTATACGATATAAATGAATAAGCATATGAGATCTAATTAGATTCCCCTAATTATAAATAATCTAAATATTAATTTTTTATAATTTTTTCTTATACATAGTCCGAGTTATTCATAGTCAAAGATGTTCATTGGAGAACGCACAATTGCAAAGTAATGGAACTATTAGAAACGGAGGGAATATTTACTACCGAATATTTATAAAAAAAAAAAAAATTACATCTTGATGGATTTGACAAAGATGACCAATTGGTGAACATAGTCAAGACCTTTTATGAGCACCCTAAGAGATAGAGCACCCTAAGGAAAACCAACAATGAAGAAAAAGGGGAGGAAAAAGAATAAAAAGAAATAGAAAAACAATAAAAGTAGCGTACTTGGGGAAGATGGTCAAGAAGTTGTATGTTGACCAAATAAACAAATATTCAAATAAAAGAATTGGTAATAGCTCTGCTCCCCAGATGGTTAAGAAGGACAACGCCATAAGATTACAGAAAATCTACAAATCTGAAAGTTGGCAATGTCAGTTGCTAGCCTAGACCTAGCAATTAGCATAATTACACTTAGTACTTTTTTTATTTTTTATCCTAAAGTTCACACATAAGAATACATACATACAATCAACAAGATTTTAATTATTTTAATAGTATCATACGTACAACTAGTTCTTATAGTCAATTATTCTGTATACTAGTAGTCTAGTACGAAACAAAGTGGTAATAATACTCCGTATATGAAGTACTTAACCTTTAATGTTGCATAAATAATGTGTATTGATATACATCCTTTGGTTTTACTCGTAATTGTTTGTCTCATGGGTAAAATGTGCTTTATTTCGTAAGCAATATTAAGGATTGAACTAAAACATTACAGATTTGATGTGATACCTTTGTATTACTTACTTATACAAGTGTATGCAAATTTGGTGTGATATCTTTACAAACAGACCCTGAATCGAACTGAAATTAAGCTAAAGAGAACAGCTGAACATGTCCTTTAGTCACGTAGTTTTAGAAGATGATTAGTGAGGCTATACGAGCAATTTTATCAAAATAATTTTAACATGAAAATTACAATTTGGTTAGGTATATGTGTGAAATAATTCGTCGGTTTATATAATATAATCTCGATCTCAAATCGTGTTTCACAAGACTGTGTTGTAAGTAAATAAAAATAGAAGAAGTACATGTACATGTACATCATCAATTACTTTTATGGAAAAAGATATATGCAGCCCTAAGGGCTGCATATAAAAAGCTAAAAGTGCAAAGAATAAACATAAAATTAACATTTATTACACCGATTTACTCGTAAATTGTTGATAAATTCACAACTTAATACTAAAAAAGGAAGTATATTAAGGGCCTGTTCTCTTACGTTGAAATTCAGTTCAGTTCAGTTCAGTTCAGCTGAGTTCAGTTCAGTTCAGTTCAGCTCAATTCAGTTCAGTTCAGTTCAGCTCCTAATTTCCTTCTCTTATAAAATATTCATTTCAATTCAGTTCAGCTGAGTTCAGTTCAGTTAAGTTCAGTTCAGTTTAGCTGAGTTCAGTTCAGTTCAGTTTAGTTCGGTTCAGCTGATTTCAGTCAATAAGAACATGCCCTAAATGCTTATATGCAACCCTAAGAGCTGCATATAGCATTACCCCTATTTTTATTTAAGTAAAAACTTGTGATTAATCGATTAAGGTAAAGTTTGGTCTTAATTAAAAACAATTAATTATGTTGACAGTAGCAGTGGCGGTGGTTAATCATCAAGAGCTCTCTTTTTAATGCAGGCGTGGGTATAAATGCAGGACCTTTGTCATTACTCTTTCTCTTTTCTCTCTCTAGCTTCTCTTCTTTCTCTCTCTACTAAATTTTACATTAACTTTTGCTTATTTTTCTTACCAACTAATTATTTTTTCCTGGACGTTTATTAGACAAAATATCAGCTTCTGGGCAATTCAAAAATCATATAAAATCAGAAGAAAACCAAACAAGAAGGTGAAATTTTCAAGCCCAAAAAAAAAAGAAGCCAAAATTCAATAAAGTTTTCTTCAGTAAAAAGCTTCAATGGAGGTCAGAGTACTAAAAGTAGCTCAAAATCTGAAATGGGTATCTTTTATCTTCCCACTATTAGCTCAATTTCTTTATGATTCAGAGAAAAAAGAGGGGTATTAATTTGCTCTGACTAGGGTTTATGTTAATTTTAATTTTTATTTCTCATCAATTTCTGAGGGTGTTATTTATTATGCTGAAATCAATGAATTGGTACAAATTGACTGCACTTATAGTCTTTTTTCTGCAATTTCTGGGTGTTTGAATAGATTCTTACTGAGTATTAATTGGTGGATACCATTTTTAGTTGCTGTACATGTTTAGTTCAGTCATTGCTTTTATAGAAGTTGTTGTTTGGCTGTTAACATTGTGGTGTTGATCTCAGTACATGAAGTGGGTACACTGGGGTTTCGTTTTAATGATGTTATGTTGCTATTAGACTTGGCAATTCGGGTAAACGAGTCGTGTTCGTGTTTGGTTTCGTGTTTTATTTCGAATAGATAGGTACACTGGGGTTTCGTTTTAATGATGCTATGTTGCTTTCACTTCATTGATTGAAGTAGGTAACATGACTTTACTCTTTCCTTCTATTATCTGGTTTTGCTATAACTAGCGCCGTAGCAAGTTTGTCAGTCTACAATAGTAGCATTTCTTTGGGTTCATTGAGCTTATTTTGGTCGTTGTGTGTGGTGGTGGGGGACGGGAATCTTTGTCATTGTCTTCTTAAACTTTTTTTTTGCTTGATTTTTAAATTTAATTTTCAAATGGTTATTATGTATTGTTTCATTTGATTTTTGAGTTTAAATTTTTGGTGGGTTGTTGTTGGCTTTTCAGGTTTCTGTTCTTAATTCAATTACGAAATTGGGGTTCTTGTGAGGGGTTTTTGGTTCTTTCTCCTGCTTGTGTTAGAACATAGAAGTTAGAATTACTGGAAACAAAACCCGAAAACCTTGAAGGAGAGTGTAGGGAATAAGAAAGTAGGAAAATTGTTGGTCTGATTTGGACTGTTGTTGATAGTTTGAAGTTGGTATGGAAATGAATGATAAAGATAAATCGGAAGTTGAGAAGAGGAATGAAGAACCCTTGACTTACCACCCCCCTGGTATATCAGCTGATTGGCGATATGACATTCCTAATTACGCTAATTCATCAATGGGTTTGGTGTCGAGTGGGAATTCTATGGCTGTTTGTGGAGATGCAGTTGGTCCTTCCTGTTCCTCCGGTTCAATGGTGGATTCATTTAGTCCAACAGTTTGGGAACATTCTGTTAACACAGCACCCTTAGGCTTCAGCGAAATGAATGTTCATAATGGTGCAGGCGTTTCTGATCCACTATCAATGCTCAAAAGTGGCTTATTTTTACCAAGCATGTCAGGGATGCTGCCTCATAGCTTATCTCAGTTTCCTGCGGACTCTGCTTTCATTGAGCGTGCGGCTCGGTTTTCTAGCTTCAGCGGGGGGCATTTTGGAGATATGTTGAATCCTTTAGGCATCCATCAGTCTGATAGTCCTTATTTTCGAGGGGGGGCAATGATGCAAGGTCCACAAGAGGTCTTGCCAGGAAATGCCTATAAAACCTTGGCTGGTAGACATCCTCAAAATCCAGAGGCAAGCTTTGCTGAAACCTCCAAAGATGTTTCCGTGACTCCAGAACATGGGGCTGTGGAAGGGAATTCGCCCAAAAACGAGACAATGGTAGAAAGGTCTCGTGAAGAGGCTAAACAACCTGTTTCCATGTCTGGAAATGACTCTGATGAACCTGAATTTAGTGGTGGTGCTGCCCAAGAGCAAGGGGTACCTTCAACAGCTAAAACTGCGGGTGGAAAGAAAAGAAAAAGGGGTAATCAGGTAAGAAAAGCTACTCTATGCCTTAGATTTTGCTGCTTAATGTTGAATTATACGGTATTCATTTGCTTTTCACTTTAGGATGCTGAGGCTGAGCGATCCAATGGAACTCAGCAGCATTCCGATGAAACTAGGAAGAACATTTCAGAAATTCAACAGAAGGGAGAACAGAATTTAACACCAACTGGCAATAAGTCAAATGGAAAACATGTCAAACAGAGTTCTCAGGCTTCTGATTCAGCAAAGGAAGAATATATACATGTGAGAGCACGAAGAGGGCAGGCTACTAACAGTCATAGTCTAGCTGAAAGGGTAAGGACTTTCTTAGTGATTATACTAGTATAGTATTAGTGTCTCTCTATCTTTATTACCGATGAATGATGATTGATGATCGTTTATCTTGACTATAGGTTAGGAGAGAGAAAATCAGCGAGAGGATGAAATTTCTTCAAGACCTTGTTCCTGGTTGCAGTAAGGTGATCTTTGAACTTATTATCCTGTGGGTTTCATCTTTTGGAACTCTCAACTAAAGCTCTGTTTCGCAGGTCACGGGTAAAGCAGTTATGCTAGATGAAATAATTAATTACGTACAATCATTACAGCGGCAGGTTGAGGTACAGACAGAATATGATTTATCTTATGATTTTTACCTTGTCTTACTTTCAGTTCTTGGTTGTTTCTGTATACTTCAATGCACCAATATGTCAAGTCTTTGGCTCCAACACTGACCTTTTAGGATATTGTTTTTCTTTCTACTGGTTAGATAAATTTTCTATAATTGTTCCAAGGCATGAATTTTCCAACTGTGCAACTATCTTCACATGTGTTTCTTCAAACATCATGGCTTATGTTTCTTTTGTTCTGCTGTTTTTTACCCCAGTTTTTATCAATGAAATTAGCAACAGTTAATCCTCGACTGGACTTCAATATTGAGCGTCTTCTCGCAAAAGATGTGAGTAACAATCGAATGCTTTTTAGTTGCTAAATTGTCGGAATGAAGTGCATTTGTAAACAGACTTATAACAAACCTGGTTTCCTGATGCTGTATATTAATTATTTTAATTTTACAGCAGATGTTTTCAGCAAGAGCTGGTCCTTCTTCTGGTCTTCCGTTTTCTCCAGAGATTCAAATGCCTTACCCTTCCCTAAATCAAACTCAGCCATCCATTATGCCTCCTAGTCTACCTGGCTCTGGAACCTCTTCTGATATACTGAGGAGGGTGATTAATTCGCAATTATCAAATATGGGAGGAGGGTACAAAGAATCCGCTTTGCAGGTAAGAGTGTTCTATCAAGTGAATGTCTCAATTTTGACCCGTTTCCAATACCTGATCTGAAACAGTGATTTACGCAACCTTAATCCAAATTGTGCCCAAATTTACAGACACAGATATAACTGTATTGATCCAGAAATTATTTCGACATGTCAATATTTTATTGTTCGTTTTATCATACTATAATATGTTAATTGATAATAAACTAAAATACTACCCGACCAAAATAGTATCAAACGACCTAAAATTGAAGCAATTGACTCATCATATGAATACAACCTGGACTAAAGAGTGGCCTGAACCAAACTTGATATAAGAAATCTTTTTTGGCTGTCAAATATATGGTACTAGTTTTGGCCCTTCTATTGTTGTTTATTAATATGTATGTGTTCAAACAGTTACCTAATGCGTGGGATGGCGAGCTTCACAATGTTGTGCAGATGGGTTTCAATGCCAGTTCACCCCTTGACAACCAAGAAACAAGCGGTAAGAATTCTCAACCCTTGGATTTGTTCTACCACCACTGTACTTGTCTGACGTTTCCCTCTAATATCTGCAGGTTCAACGCCAACAGGTCAAATGAAAGCCGAATCTTGATCTCTGTTTTTGAGCCACCTTTTCATCAATATAAACATTTAAATGCTGTTCATAGGAGTTCCCTCGTCCACTCTTACCGGAGATTGGATGCCTGACGTTGAAGGAAAACCGTGATTTGAAGAAGCTTCAAGAAATCCCCAACTTATCGTTTCAAGTACAAGATGTATATTCCTAACAACTCTGTTTCTTAGAGAACAAATTCCATCACAAGCTTTTGATGCTCTTTGTACATTAAAATTTGAAGAATATATAATAATGCCTTTTAATGGTTAAGCACAACTCAGAAGTTGGAGAAGCATAAGGTTGAGGCGTACCTTGATGTACAACCTCTAAAATGTCGAAACGTTGCAGAGAATTATGTGGCTACTTATGGGGTTATTGATCCTCTTTTGCTTTGGCATGAGGCCATGAGGGGAGGGCCGGAGGGGCGACTAGTGTTCAAAATTTTTTCTTTCTCATCAATTCATCATATTTCAGTATGGAATGTAAAATATATTTATCTTTCTCTTAGTTAATTATTGTAGAATGGTGTATTTTTTGGTTGTTTTGAATTATAGTAGTCATGCACAGGTAGTTTGCTAATCCTGCAAGAACAGTGAACCAAAAAAAAAAACAAGCAAATTAATACTACGTACTTCCTTCATCTTTAATTAATCGTCTTTTATACTATTTTGGTCCGTCTCTAAATGATTGTTCCATTACAAGGCTTTGTTTGTTATGATGCAATATATTTATATATATTATGGAAAAATAATTTTCCATGGAATTTTTTTCAAAGAAAAATACAATTGTAAAAATGATTTTATTCCGTGTGCTTCAAAAATAATATTGTTGAGGGAGAGGAAAATGGGAGTGGAAGCAAGATAGACGAGGGGAGAAGAATATGGGTGCTTAATTGTTTATAGTGCAAAGATAAACGTGACATTCTTTCTTTTCACAATTAAAATGTTTGATTGGAAATTATATTCATGGAAAATATGTTTTTTTTTTTAATCAAAATAAACGGAGCTTAAATTGAACTCTCTTCACCCAACTTCTTCAACAATGTATTGCAGACCCTGCCATTAAATCTCCCTCTTTTCATCTTTTTTTTTTAGTATATTCATAAACTTAAGTAATGTTTTACCATCTATTTTAAGAAGTAATATGCACACTCAAATCTAAGAGGATAATAATGTGAGTGTAAGGAATCAATTGCAATGCTTTTACTAAATCTAGGAGGTGAAATGCATTTCGACATCCATTCTTGTATACACATTATTATTATTATTATTATTATTATTTTTTTTTTTTTTTTTTTTTTGCTCGTTTGCCTCATGAAATTCTACTACTTCATCCTTGGAAATTTAATAGAAAAATTTGGGTCTTGGGAAGAATTTCTCGCTTCAATCTTGTAGTTATAAGAGTAGTTATTGTTCTTTAGGATTTGTTTATCATATTTTTCATTTCATTTCACTTCAATAAAGAAAGTTTACTCTTTATATTCCAATTAAATTTCAGCTCAATAGATATCAATTAGCATATGTTAGACGTATTTGTCAAATTAGCTATTAGGGGAACATGTTCACAATAAGGTAATAACTAGTTGTTAGTAAATTAATTTTTTAAAATGGCAATTTAAATAATTGTATTATGTAGTGTTTGGGTCCAATTTAGTCTAATTGGGTCTAGTCCATAAATGATTAAATTAAAAGTCCAAGGTCAAAGGTTCATCTCTCCAATCATCATTGCCAAGTCAAAGTCAAGTCAAGGTCCGGTCAACATAGTAAGCCCATTTGGCTTTGGGCCCATCTCTTCTATTGTGCAAAGGTATAAAAGCCGTCAATTGTGCCATTTTACATTCATTCACAAAAGCTTCAAGCAATTAATTCTCTTGCATAATTTTCTCTCTCTACACATTATACTGACTTCGGCGTCGGAGGGGTCTTCCTCGGCCCGACATTATTTGAATCGAGTCAGTCTTCAGCCACTGCAAAGAACCTTCGGCAAGGTCCTATTATTTTCACCCGAAACACGTATTATTTTGAATCACAAGTTAAAATATTGAAAGAATTTTCAGATGTCGGATTACGCCGTACAATATTGTTTATGGTTATAAGTCCTTATAACTCTAAGAGCCCCCTCTCCCCAAAAAAAAAAAAAAAAAAAAAAAAAAAAAAAAAAAAAACAGATTTGAAACACATTTTCCCACGAAATTTACAAATACAAAAAAATACAAAAATGAAAACCAAATAATATCTCCCCGCCACATTTAACGGTCAAAAGACAATGTCAGCAACCTCAAACTACTACTCCTCAATCCTCAAAAAATGTTGCGAAACTCTAAACTTTAAACTTGTAAAGAAGCTTCACTGCTTCATCATCAAAATCCAGAAATACCCAGATACTTTTCTATCAAACAATCTTATCAGCACATACAATCACTTCGGAAATTTAGTTTATGCACGCCATGTGTTCGATCAAATGCCTCAACCAAACCCCTTTTCTTGGAACATTCTATTATCGGCTTATTCCAAGGCGGGCCGTCTTGTCGAAATGCTGGAGTTCTTTCATTCTATTCCAATAAAAGATGGTATTACATGGAATGCTTTTATTTCAGGTTATGCTAATTGTGGGAAATTTAATTGTGCTGTGATGGGTTATAGGACTATGTTGGAGGAGGGTACTATGAACTTAAATAGGATAACGTTTTCGACGATGCTTATATTGTCGTCGAATATGGATTGTGTTGATTTGGGTAGGCAGCTTCATGGGCAGATTGTGAAGTGTGGGTTTCTTTCTTATATGTTTGTGGCTAATCCGTTGGTTGATATGTATTCCAAGTTGGGATTTGTTCGTGATGCACAACAGGTTTTTGAGGAGGCACCGGAGAGGAATTTGGTGATGTATAATACTATGATTGCAGGGTTTTCGCGTCTTGGGATGTTTGATGAGTCATGGTGTTTGTTGCATAGTATGCCATATAAAGATTCAATTACATGGACAACTATGATAACAGGACTTACTCAAAATGGATTTGACAGGGAAGCTGTTGTTTTGATGAGAAAGATGCGAGAGGAAGGTTTTGCCATGGACCAGTTTACTTTTGGAAGTGTCTTAGCTGCTTGTGGGAGAATGGGATTCTTGAAAGAAGGGAAAGAACTTCATACTTATATAATACGAACAGGATATCAAGGGAACGTATTTGTTGGCAGTGCTCTCATTGACATGTATTGCAAGTGTAATTACATACAGTATGCAAGGACAGTTTTCGAGAGAATGACACACAAAAATACTGTCTCATGGACTGCAATGCTAGTGGGTTATAGTCAGAGTGGTCTGTCGGAGGAAGCTATTAAAACTTTCCTCGAGATGCAAAAGAACTCAATTGAACCAGATGACATTACGTTAGGAAGTGTTGTTAGTTCGTGTGCTGATTTATCTTGTTTGGAAGAGGGTGTTCAATTTCACAATCAAGCTTTATTGTCTGGTTTAATATCCTTTGTTGCTGTCTCTAATGCACTCATTACCTTGTACGGAAGATGTGGAAGTATTGAAGATTCCTTAAAGTTGTTTAAAGAGATGAATGTGAGGGATGAAATCACCTGGACTGCATTAATTTCTGGATATGCTCAATTTGGAAAGGCCCGTGAAACAATGCATTTTTTTGAGGAAATGCTTTCTCATGGACTTAAGCCCGATGAAGCTACTTTTGTCGGTGTTCTCTCAGCATGTAGCAGAGCAGGTCTAGTAGAAGAAGGAAAACAGTATTTTGACTTGATGGTGAAAAAACATGGTGTAGCTGCAACTCCTGATCACTATACTTGCATGATTGATCTTTTCAGTCGTGCTGGGAGGTTAGAAGAAGCCAAAAGTTTTATTTCTGAAATGCCTTACATCCCTGATGCAATTGCTTGGGGTACAGTCCTGAGTTCATGTAGAGTCTATGGGAACATGGAAATTGCAAATTGGGCTGCCGATTCTCTATTTGAACTAGACCCTCAACACCCTGCAGGTTATGTCTTGCTTTCCAGCCTATATGCTGCTGAAGGGAAATGGGAACATGTTGCTCAGTTGAGGAAGGGAATGAGAGATAGAGGCATAAGGAAAGAGCCTGGTTATAGTTGGATTAAGTTTAAAAATAAAGTACATGTATTCTCTGCTGACGATCAGTCCAGCCCGTATTTGGACCAGATATATGCTGAGATGGAAAAGTTGAACCTGAAGATGATTGAGGAAGGTTATAAACCTGATTTGAGCTCTGTTCTTCACGATGTTGAGGATTCTGAAAAGATGCGAATACTAAAGCATCACAGTGAGAGACTTGCAATTGTTTTCGGCTTGATGTTTGTACCGCCTGGCCTCCCTATTAGAGTGGTTAAGAATCTTAGGGTTTGTGGTGATTGCCACACTGCGACAAAGTTCATATCTAAAATTACACAGAGAGAAATACTTGTAAGAGATTCTGTCCGCTTTCATTTATTCAAGAATGGAACTTGTTCGTGTGGAGATTTTTGGTGAACTCTGTTATCAAGTATGATAGTGAGGATATTGAGCGCTTTACTTGGTTTCTTACATCTTTATTGTGAAGTCTTTGCACCTGTGGGGACAATGCAATGAGGAAAAGGTTATATGAACAGCCTAGTTCAGGTAACAGTCTGAAGCATTTGCTCATGTAAATGCAGTTTTCTTGAGGCTAAGACAATAGAGGAAAGCTTGGAGCTTGTCAGAGATGCATGACTCTGATTGCTTCCATTCAGAGTGGTTTGACAATGAGAGTTTGAGATTGTCTTTCAGCTACGCTGTTACTCATGAGGCTGCTTGCTGAACTGGGATACAATCCTGAATAAGGACTGCAAACATCAGTGGACAAGTGAGCCTTTACCCTTGTTTGTAATTTCAGGTCAATTTTATTTCATGTTTCCATGGGTACTTCTCTATCATGCACATAGGTAGAACATCATTGGACTTTCATACTTCATAATAGTGTTCACAAAAGCACTTCATAGTTTCATTAATTCCCTGTTCTATGAAGGTTACCAACACACATTGTTTTGGTACTGAGACTACTGACATGAATAAACGTATAATCCTCTCATCATCAATGAAAGCTGATTCAGTCAGTATCAAGATAATTGATCAATTTTGGAGTACAATGGACTATATAGTAAATATTATGTGTTAATAATTAACTGTCCTATACTTAGCTGCTGTCAAGTAATAGGTCTGTTGAGTGTCTTTTCCAGTCTAGAGTTGAATAAAACACCTCTGCAATTGTTTGATGAGGTTTCATATGCTCTAATTTTTCTCTAGGCGAGCCGCGAGTGTCTTACTAAAAAGTCTTGTATACTGTAATGATTTGTATATTGCTTGGACAAATTAAACTGAGTATTAATCTATTATGACTATAAGATTTCACTGTAAATATTTACATGCACATGTTTTTTATCAACAGTTTGAATTTTAGGCTTACAGATTAATTTCATACTAGATCTGCAGTCTAAACACATACTTCATGCATTTCTTTAGTTGTACCATATTGCTTTGGCACGTTTGTACTGTTATTTACAAGTGAAAATTATAAAATAAGTTGATGATTTGAAAATTCATATATAGATGAATATAACAAGATTCCTAGTGACTAGGTTTTTACTTGTAAATAACCAAGGATTCTCGAAGTGAAGGATAGTGTCAACAGTCAATATGCAGCAACCACAGTAATTAATGTGGACCGGGTTTATTTTAGTCTTTATAAAAAGAGTATAACTTACCAAAAACACATCTTAATTCTAAAACACATCTTATAAAAAAAAAAAAAAAGTATAACTTACCAAAAACACATCTTAATTCTTAAGGTTAGAGCTAGTGGATACTTACCAAAAGTTGCCTGACGGTATGGCCCTAAGTAACTCCGAAATGAATAATCCGGCTATTCAATACTCCATTAATAGCTTGGAGCCTTTTTGGCTGAAAAGTAGTTTGATGGAAAAGATCAACTGCATTTTATAAATGTAAAAAGGTTTCATTGTCTCAGTTTCTTCTTGATTATTTATGAGCCTGGTAAATCTGAAAGTAAAATAGTTTCATATACAAGGGAAAATAGAATCCCTTTCTCACAGTGATTTCCTCTATTCATAAAGAACAATATACATCTAGTAAGCCCCCCGAGTCTATACAAGGGTCATTTTCAGACTAAATCACTAAAATCTATTTTTTCTTCATCATTCAATTTATTTCTAGGATCTCCATCTACTTAATCACTCTAAACCAGGACTTTCACATTCACCATTGGAAAAATCAAGTGGTAAAGGTGCCAGTGAGACTTGGCATCTTATCTAGGTACCGTAGAATATTTTCTGCCATCTGCCTTGTGTATGCATCTCCATGATGGAAGGCAGTCACCACTGTAATATAAAATAACTTATCTTGTGATACAAGAGATAAAGATCTTTGCCCACCTTTCACTAAGAACCTCTCAATCATCCAAAATGCTTTCTGCCACAGAATTTCATTCTTGTGATATCGCACTGCTTTTAACACTCGTTGTATCGTATTCATCTCATCCAGTATGTTCACACTCTGTTCCACATCAACGTTATCATCCAGTAATGTCGATAATGCTGATAATGCAGCTTCAGCCACCTGAACATTCTGATGATCCAGGCATAATAAGAGTCTCTCAACTGCCCCTGCTTCAATCAAGCAAAATGTATCTTTTTTGGAGCAAACACCTTTATGAACTACACAAAGTTCCACTTTGGTTTTCCTTGATGACCCAGAGGCTAAAAACCTGGCCTGGTAGAACAGATTGAAGAATTTCTTCCGCTTTCTTTGTGATGGCCCTGGTGGCTTTGAGAGACGTGTTGATTGTGCTGAGAGTTTATCTAATCCTGTAGAAGCTAAGATTTGTACCTCATCTCTTGATGTTTCCAATAACAAATCAGTCAAAACCGCAGTGAAATTGTGATTTATTGCCAAAAACAACATTTGAGAATTATGTAATGTTGCTGTGAATCTAACTAGTACTCCCACTAGCCCCTCCAAGTACATACAGGCATACCTGTTTTGTCTTGTTCCGCTGCTTTGGATTTGACTTATTGATTGCAAGATTTCAGGGATTGTGTTCTTACTGAGCAAGGCCTGATTGAGAGTGAGGTTTTGATGAGGAAGTTTAGCCAGAAATGAGACTGATAGAGCTTGCCTTTCAGTGATCTGACTAGAGTTGGCAGGGCTTTGTATAAGACCCTCAGGTTGGCCATTTAACTTGCAGAGTCTGTCAATTAGTAAATGCCCTATGTGGGATGAGAGTAGAATTAGAAGTTTTATTGCTGCTACTGCAATTTCATCACTTGGGTTGTTGATGAGTTCAATAAGTGTATAGCTTGCTTCACCTTCCCTCACTGCTGACGTAATTGGGTTATCTGACTTCATAGATTTTGCCATACAATAAAGGATTCTGATAAGATTCAAATTCAGATCATCCGGGGTGGAATTTTTGATCATGTAGACGATGTTGAATATGACATAACCTGAAACCATGGTATGGCCTTGACTATTTACAGTCAGATTCTCAAATCCGATCCCAGATTCAAGGATATTTGCTAGTATTGCCGAAGCTTCTTTAAGTGAATCCATTGGTTCACTATATATTTTTTTGGTAAATATTTCTTCAATCATATCTCCTACAATTCCAGCTTCTACTAGTATTCTACCACTGGCTGAGTAAGAGGATATTTGAACAAGGGCTTTAAATACAGCTTTTCTAGTTAAGGGATTTCTGTTGTGCAGCATTTGGATGAGAACAGGAGTTGTTCTCTCTGCCACGTAAGTCTTGCTGTCATCTTTAAGTACTATTTCACCTAGGTAGGTCATCATTTCCAACTTCCTCTCCTCAGATCCTGCTCAAAGTTTCAAGATTTTTCATGGTTTAGATCATTTTGTCTAAATGCATTAGATACTTCTAGTTGGCTACCTTTGCACAGAAAATTTAAGGGAAACTGGCATGATTTGTGAATGATAAATTGATATTTCAAAACAATGAGAAGTAAGTATTAGGTTTACCTTCAATCAAATTGCTAAGAAGAGGTTCCAAGTATCCTATTTCTGCCATGAACTTAATATTGCTGGGACACCGCTCCATATTATTCAAAATTTGGTCTGCTGCTTCTGAAGCAAAGGTGTCTACAGATCTGTTGTACTTTGTTTGGAGCAGAATCAGAATTCCTCCAGTGACATGGCCTATTTTCTCTGAGAGAAAGTTAGACTTGGAAAACTCAATTAGGAGTAATAGTGCAGCGTGTCTTATTGGTTGGTAGCTGCTGGACAGCATTCTGATTGTTGCAGATATCACTGGTGTCTTCGCAATTTGCTCCTGCTCATCCAGTACTATCAGTCAGATGAATAAATAAATATTGTTAAAAAAAAAAAATTAGCTGCTTTTTGTGCATAAATGCAACTGTTGCCAGTCACAAACTATTAGGCCGAATATAAAGGATTTATAATATCTGTACCATTTGGTTCATTAGCTTTGGATATCTGTTATTCTTACAGGTGATACATTACTTCTCTTGGACCTTTCTGTTAGCCGATCACTTCTTTGTCCTTTTGCCTCTACTATCTACTTGTTAGCCAAATCTAACATTCATTTTTCCTTAGATAGTTCGATTCATATGGATAATAAAAGGAAAGTCTCCTTATTAGGGGAGGGTGGGGGAGAGGGAGAGAAGGGCACTAACCTTTGCTTCACCTTGCTCAACTAATAGACGAATCATTCCCAGTGTTAAACATCTCACAGTTTTGTCTCTTAATTCCAGAAGCCTGACAAGCAATGGTATTATTCCTATGCTGTACACTTCCTGTATTTTCTTGGGATTCCTTTGGCAGAGGTTCTGCAAATCCTTCAATGCTTCAAGTATCATACTCTCTGTGCTGCCTATGGACAAAGCTGCACGTATGACTTTAAGTCGCGCAGAATCATTTCTGTCTTTCCACTCCTGTAATATGCTTCTTAAAGCTAAATTGGGGCTCATAGCCCTGCTCTGGAGCTTCTCCCTGGTGATAGGACAGTTAACTTCTTCTGAATTTCCAAATTTTTTGAAATACTCTGTGATTGCCCTCCTCTCGTACGTCAGTCCACTACTTATGGTCACTGGGTCATCCATGACCTGGTTAGTAAGTGGACAAATGAAACTCTTATACATTGGTTCCATATGAGTATCAACTTCTGTCATACTTCTTGATAATCTGTTACTCATGTTTCCAACGTGTCTATTGCTGCTTTCACTTGCACTTCTAATGGCTTCCATTATCTGTGGAATATCTGATACATGAGAGTTTTCTGAGCAGACTACCATGCTGGTTGAATAGAGGTCTGATTCTATTGTCATTGATTCCGCATCTGGGTGATCCTCCAGATACAGTTGATTTGTTTTCTGTTGGTTGGGCTTGGTTTCTTGTAATAGGCTGGTCTCAAAACGAAAATTTCTCATCTCCTCTGAGAGTGAGCTGATTGTGATATCTGCATATTCTTCATCCTTGAATGCAGATGGTGGTATTAAACTCAAGTCATAACCCATTCGATTGATAATATCTTCTAGCTGTTTTATCATGTTCTTCACTTCATCATCCATGATTGTCTGTCCATTTTGTTGAAGTTTTCCTAAGATGTCTTTCGCCATATCACTGCTTTGAGATAGAGATTGTAGTATCTCAGTTTCATTAGCCAGGCTGCTCTCTGAACTCTGAAGCCCCCTAATAGCTGAAGAAGTGCGATAGAAATAGCTTGCGACAGCAAGGATGTTGTTATGTTCTGGATTTGCACTTGGAATCGATTCTATTATCTCTGAGAGCGATGCCAGTAGCTGTTTGCTAATACTCTTGAAATGCTTTACATCTCCATCACACTGAGGAAACAAGAAAATAGAAAACATTATACTGAATATGTGTGATTTCATTCACCCTTTTTATTCCATTCTTTGGGAGATAATTATAAGGCATTGGTGAGCTTCTCTCTCATTCATCTCTTCCATTGTAAATTTTAGCTGGAATTAATGTATGAACATATTGTGGCTACTAACAGGGAAGGTATATGCTCTTGGGTTGGAATTGGGATGAACTAATTATGTAAGAAAATTAGACTTCCTAATTTCCAAAACGAAAAACATGCTCAATTCCTTCCTGAAAATGAAAAAATATTTTCTGTCCAACCAAACGGATAGATCCTTTATGTGTTTTCTTATATTTTATAACTTCTTCTGTTATGGTCCTATTTCAGCTGTATTTACTTCTGCTTTCATATTAAGATATCGAAGAAGCCCCCCTCCCTTTCCTTTTTTAGTTTCATATTTTTGTTCTGCTATATCCTTGTGCTTAACTTAATTCAGATCATTCTGATCTCGCCATAAAGAGTTTTTTCACATGATTTCTAAATTTTCTTGGTATTAGTAATTGAATTTCCTTACATGGTAACAAATTTTATCGACATAGTTACATAGTTTCTTTAAAAAAAATTGTGTAGTGAAAATTTCTAATGCCTTTTTTTTCAGTCCAAAAAAGGAAAACGAAGGAATATAAGAGTTCACACAGATATATACACACTACAAACAGAGTAGATGGGGGGTGTTCATCTATATTGCAAACTGCTTATGTCATTTTTTCATTCTCTACCATATTTTTCCTCTGTGTGATTAATGTTTGTAAGATTTTACTTATCCTAACATTTGTAATTCGGAACCAAGTAATGTGTTTGTGAACTGCAGGATAGTTGAAGGAGCATACTGCATATATAAATGTAAGTAAAAAGAGAAAAGGACTAGCAAAAATTCGTACCACCAAAACTTCATCGGAATTGCTGGTTGACATGGCGTCTGTCAGCTTCCTTTATCAGAGCCTACCTTCTCATTTCTTACTCGGTTTTTGCTCTTGGAGATGCTTCTTAAGGTGAGAGAGTTGTTCTTGAATCAGTCATCGGTTGTTGTTTTCTAAACTAATTACAAAATTCTATTGAGGTTAACTTGCTGGCACTCATTTTCACAATTCATTAGACTGAGTCATATCCTAGTTGAGCAAAGTCTAGGAGCTTACTTGTTTTGTTGTATGTAAGACTTTTTTTTTCTGATTTGTCTCTTATTCTGCACTTTACTGTCATCAAAGAAGATTGTAAAAAACTAATTGACATCAGGCAAATTCTTATTAATTAACTGGAATATACAATAGTAATATGAACCTAGCCTGTTATATCTTGTTAAAGGTTTGATGCAGTCTCACTGTAAACCTATGTCACTTATGAATTATTCTTGATTTTATCAAACCTTGCTTAATCTAAATGCACTTAATTTCTCATTCCATCATTCTATGATTGATTCGTGTCTCATTTGCAGCAGTACTTATTTTTTTGGTCTTCAGAATATAGTTGCACTTTTGTCGCGTAATAAACTACTTCCTCTGTTGATAAAGTAATATCATTTTGATTTATCACTTTTAATTTCTCATCTCAAACACTCCCATTAGTATATCTTTACAATTCTTATTTTTAAGTTGAGGAAATCAGTATGGGTTATAAAGGAAATTTTTATTTTAACATGCTAAGGTACACAGTCTTTGCATAAAAGGATTTTACAGCTTCAGATTCACAATTAACCCCTTCCTGTATGTTGTGAAAGGTACAGTTGGGGTATTCATCCTAAGTCCCACATGGAAAGATTAAGGAAGTGAGAGACTCCTTATAAGTATGAGGCCTTTTGGGAAGGTGCCCAAAAACAAATCCGTGCGGACTAGGCTCAGAGTGGACAATATCATACTAATGTGGATTAGAGTGTGCGTGTGACCTGTCAAGGTGGGTGACCCGGACCCAGCAGATATATATGGCTCTTACAAAGCTTTGGCCTGTCGTGGGCGTAAACTGTCAAATTGATCTCTAAATGTCATGAAAATATGGACGGACTGCATCTGGTGATTAGAGTGGGATAGTTCTATCAGACTTGAATGTTTAAACTGTGCAAGGAGACTTGGTAAGCACAGCTTTGACATTTGTTGTCATGATCATGGGAGGTGGACTTTATGTTTCCAATTGATTTGTTAATAAGCAAATTATTTTTTAATGATCAAGTTGCTAGCACCTTGTTGCCTTCAAAAGTGGAAGTACATAAGCATGTTTTAATTATTCAGTGTACCGTATCTAAGAGAGGCCCTGTTGTCAAGTAAAATGAAACTGAGGTGATAGGTCTTGTACTTGGCTTATTATTTTTTTGCTCTTTATCAGGAACCTCTTTTACACATTCAATCATTATGTCGTGGATGTCAACTATCTTGGTTAATGGAATGTTGTGAAAATTTTACACCATACTTAGAACTTGGGCCAAGGCGGTCTATAGACCCAACACAACTAAATAATTGATATAAAGTTTCATGATGAAAAAAAATTATATATTGGAGATTCAGAGGAAGTCTAAAAATTGTTTTAATATGCTTCGTAATTGTCGTAATTTCATTCGTGCTTTTGGTTGTAATATTCGTATTTTTCATTGCTTTCGTGAGGGGAATAAAGTAGCTGATAGACTAGCTAATTTAGGGGTGGTTCAAACTAATAAGTGCCTTTATTTCGGTGTTCCTCCAATCGAAATAAAGGATCTTATTAGGGAGGACTTCTTAGGGGACTACCCCTCGTTTTATTGCTTAGTTCTTTGTAGTTCTTGGGCTTTGCCCCCTTTTGCACCAAAAAAAAAAAAAAAATTATCTTGCATAATTCTTATCAAAGCACAATACTGGAGTACTTTATTTCAACTCTTCCTACATCAGTTTCCCAGAAACCCACTTCATAGTTTTATGTAAGTCCATGTTGTAATTAGTAATTTGAAATCCCTAATTTAAGACAAATTAAAATGAAACAAATTAGAGACTTGACCAATTCAATTGAAAAAGATAGGGTGTAAATAATTTTGTAAGTTAAAATTTAAAAAAACTTAACGAGGGTAATTATTGGGAATATAAAATAACAATGTCTTTTTCACTTAGATTCAAATTAAATGGTTAATTGGTTAGCTTTAACCATTATAGCAACTAGGATATTGAAAATTTGAAACAGATAACAAAAGATAATAATAATAGTGTAGGGAAGAGGTCAAAATACTTGGTATAAAATTTGAAAACTGGAATATTAATTTGACAAAATTACTTGCTTTCATTTGAAATTAAAAAAACTTGCAGGTCCAATAACTATCCTTTACTGGTTCAACGACAAGCATTACAAATTTACAATTTGTTCCGCAAACTTGTAATTTTGTACTTCCGTCCCATAATATAAAATTTGTTTTAGTACGCTATTAAAATAAACTAACGATAAAGTTTGCATACAAAATATAAATAGTGAAATAATTAAATATGTCAATTATTTTGAGATGGAGAGAGTACATACTAAGGGATTGTGATTGTTTGTAGTTTTGTACATAATATTGCATCAGCCAAAGTGTTCAATAAACCATCAAGCCCAAGTGTAAGATTGAAATTGTTCTACTTTGACATTGATTTATTTCAGGTTAAACAACGCAATCGACATAGATGCAAAGAGAATGGATCAAATACATTTATACTCGTTTATAGGACAGTACAATGTTCAAATGTATCCTTTCACTATACAAAATGTAACAACACAGTTCAAGAGTTGCATCAAATTTGATGTTTGGGAAAACTCAAATATTCTTAATACAAGATACTTCCATGCCAAAAATTTGTTCCTACAACATAATTCTACATAGCTCGCACAAAATTTCGTATAATTGATCAGAGAGGGAGATAAGAACACTATATACATTAGTAGCACAAAGGCGTATATGAATCTATGCAGACAACAATCCGTCTATGGATATAGTCGCTCTTTATTCTGTGTACTGTCCCATAAATAAAGTAATCGCTAACCAGTTACAAAAATGCCTGGCACCCAAGTATTTTTCACCTAAGGTGATTCTTGCATCACCAACCTATTGCTGCACCCGTTGACACATGAACAGCTGCTGTAGAATCTGCTTACTGCAACTGCCATCAAGTTTTCTTTCCAGTTTTCCATCAAGGAGCTCGCTTTCTCTGTTGCTCTTTTTAATTTAGGCTCAAGATACATAAAAGCAGGATTCCCAGCAAATAAAACACGGAGGGAACAGCTCTAATCCAAGAGACTAAGCAGATCTGCATCATCATCCAATGTGCAGGCAGATGATCCAAAGAGACTTCGTTCCTTTCGCCATCTCCATTATCACATGCGGGAAGATATGAATCCAACACTTTCCTTAGTTAATGAACCAACAAATACTGAGAATTTTTTATTGGTCCATCATCATCTTTGTGTTTGGTCAGGTGAAGGCTATATACTAAATAAATCAATCATGGACTTCTTGTTGTCAGACTAATTGAAGAAATAAGGAGACTCCAAAACCTCTCGTAAGTCAAAATCTCCACGTTCAGGGAGAGGAGGAAATTGTAATGTTGGGAAAGATTCTTGAAAGCTCTCCAACAACTGCACACATGTATCCCTCAAGTTATATACAGATACATCGATGAAAGCCAATAAACTAAAGGTTGGCTGCAATGAGCCAAAGTTCAGGTCCAAGGGGTCCATTTTAAGGAACCATGGATTTCTAGAGTTATCAAGACAATAAAATAATAAATAAAACCCTCCAAATGAAAGTTTTTTGCCTTTTCCTACTCAAACAGACCCAAATATATAAGGCAAACGAAACACGACTTTTATGGGAGACCAAAACTTCACGGAGCAAAAGGGTACTCATCATATATAAAAACTTACATTCTCGAGTATAGGTTGTTCATAGAGCTCAACAAACTTCTCCCTTAATATCTGGTTCATTTTGTCAACATCACATGCATGTGTCCAATATGAATCATGAACTCCTACAAAAACAAGCGGACCAAATTCCTTGTTAGAGTGAGATATGCATTAATCCCCTTTAGCCAGAATAAGGAAAAGTGGAGCATACAAAACTGACCTGCAAAATTCATACCAGCCTTTTTGCAGGCAATGGCAGTCATCATCATGTGGGAACCATCAAGGGAGTGAACAAAATTTGGAGGAAATGCTGTTCTTTGGCGCTTAGCCATAACCTAGCATAAATACATAATATAATATCAGCCTTATATGAAAAATAAGCACACAACTGACTGTCTGTGAGATGGGGGAAATGGGGGGAGGAGGGATACTGGAATGAGAACCTGTGCACTATAACTTTACTTCTACAGAGTAAGGGTTACCTTATCAGTATCACAGCGAAGGGTTAAAACCTGAAGTGAAGTTTTTACCTGCAATCATACCAACTGTGTGTTAGGAGTAAAAGACAAACCTTCAGAAACAACTAGTAGTCAAAAGGGCAGGAGCTTAGAATGTTACAAGTCGTCTTCCATGATTACGATAAGGTTGAACAACAGGGAGTCCAAGGGGTGTTGACCATCGCACAGGCTGGTTTTCAGATGCTATGATCTGTTTTACAGGCAAACATAGATAGACTGACAAAATGAGTTTACAAACAATAAATGTCTAAAACACATTTCATTCAAAGGGAAAAAAAAACACTAAACTAGATATTTAATAATATTATTAAAATAAAATTAAATAAATAATAAGTAATAAATAAATAAAAATGGCTCTTTGTTAAGTTCAATATTTTCTTTCAATAACAGTAATCTAACTTACGGCTCAAAATCACAATTGCTTGCCTACATAAATTTGTAGCAGGCAGGTAGGTCAGAAATTACAAACCTTTGCACAGTCACCAAGCCAGCCCATAATGCTACGTGCTGCTTCAAACATTTCTTCTAGTGCAGTCATGGTGGTCTGCTCATGCAAAAAACAAAAATACAAATGAATAATGTAAAACAAGGCAATTCAGGTGAAAAAATAATTCACAGCTAAATACCAGTTTAATTGACCACTGGAAGAAAACCACATAGGGGTGTTCAAAATTTGGTCCAGACCAAATTAATCGGTCCGGTCTTTGGGGTTTTCCCGGTTTTTGGTCCAGTCTTGGATCGGACCGGCTTTTTGCTTAAAATTATAAATAAATTTTTTAATAATGATTAAGATTATTCTTAATAAGCTAGAAAAAATTTGGTTGTATGAGATTTTTTGTACTAAACATACAAAAAAAAGACGTTAAAATATTGTTTTATTTTATTTTTTTTCTAAATTTTCCAAAAATTATTTAAAATTTAGAAATTTTGATAAAAATTCCAAAATCGATCCAACCTGGGCCCGGTCTTTGGTTCTTGAAATTCAATTTTTCGGTCCGGTCCGGGTTGGTCCGGTCTTACCAATGAATAGCAATAATACCACACCAGCATGTATAATCTCAAGATAGGTGAACAGTTATCAACTTTACACATTGTACATGCAGACTATAAAAGATAAACCACAGTAGAAGGGAAAGACCAATATTTCATCAATGCTATTTAAATCCTCACTACTATTCACTCGCTTAAGTCCTGAATTCCTGATATAGTCCATTTCCTTTTTATTTCGTTTCTATGGCCCAATCACGTTGCATTCCCCTTTTGTCTTTTTCACCAAGTCTTAACAGAACATATTCCTTTAACCTTGGTTTGATAGTGGGTGTTTATAGTAATTGTAGTACAATACTTAGGCTTCCACAACTCATGAAGCATATCCTATCTTGCCAGATTTAAAGGTTGAAAAACGAGTGTCTGAATTAGACTAAATATACATGTATAGATAACAAGCTGCCCTCCCTTGAATCCTTGATGAAACTTAAAACAAAAGCAACACAAAACAAGCATGCCGTAATTGCATTTACTGACCTTAGCAGCATAGCACGATGCAGCAAACAAATCATTATCATCTAAAATGGCATCACGTTCTTTCAATCTCCTTTTAATTTGATCACGAGCACCAATATAAGTTACACCATACACCGATGTCATCACAGTCTGCTTAACCAGCTTCCTATCCACCTAGGTTTTGGCATCAAATTAGCCAAGTGTTATTCCAGGTTATCAGCTATTCAGATAAAAAGAAAGACTGAACTTAAAATATAGAAATTATATACAGCATATACATATTGTCCAAAACTATCATGATCAAACCTAAGATTTACATATTTGATGTCACAAACAAAGATTCTCAAACCAACTGAATTCTTTGAGCAATAATCCCCTTGTTAGAGTCATTCAAAGTAGGATGAGATACCTGGTTTAACAGAAGCTTTGCATGGAATGCATTAGGTTCAATTGAAGGATCTTTTTCAGCATCACCACGCATTATTTCAAAAACTCTGCATGGAAGCAATTGGGTGGCAATTATTGGAAAAGTTGGGCCATAAATACAGAGTTCCTCACAGCTATGAAGAGTACATATAATTGATCTTGTAGCAAGATGAGATCAGATGCATCACTTGTTTCCTTTAAACATCTATAATTAGGAATAGAACCCAAATTGCAGCTAGTTTCTCTACACAAATAGCACAAGCCATCAACCTAATTTTTGTACAAATGCCTACAGAATGCATGTGATCAACTATTAAAAATGATTTGCCAGCCCAACAGAAAAATCTGAATCTTGGAGCTACATACTACAACTCAGTGATGTCATGTGCAGAAACACATTCTTTTAATTAGCTTTTTTCATTATTAAAAGTTCACATAACTTAAAAGTCCAATTAATTTTTAGGAGTTATTGGCTTACCGAGCAGCAATCCCAGAGTAAACATCAGCAGGTTTACCCCCAGCGACAAGATTCACAGCCTCCGCTCCAAGCTGAACAAATAATGATCATCACATTCATCAGTAAAAAGAAAAATTGCATCAGCACTCCAGGCATAGCTACTTTGCTATTCCTATATGTCACATTACTTAGAGATAATTGCCTGCCTCACTAAGTCAGCTAGCCATTAATTGGCAGCCGGCTGACTGGATTCAGGGCACATATAGCATAAATGATCTACGTCTTAATGCCCATAAATTTGCTTTTCTTTTGACTTTTTTCCTTCGTATTTTCTTTTTTTTTTTTTTCCTTTTTTTTTATAACTATTTTAGAATTAAAAACGTAATAATTTATTTCATACTTATATTACTCCACCGTGATATTTTTAACAGCAGATAAACATTCTTCATTTTCTCTATGATTTAATCTGCTACTACTTGAGGATTCTCAAGCCTAATTATAAAATAATTGAAGCTTTGTTATCTGTACCTTTAAGAGAAAAAAAAAATATTTCGTATACAAAAGCTTAGTCAAAATTAACGCAAAACATGTACACATCATAGCTAAGAAAGCAAATCTGGTTTTCACCTGACATGCTAAGAAAGCAAAAACAATATCTGAATTTCTTCTCATAACTAGCATTAATTCATCAAGGTTCTTTGGAAAATGCATCCATCTTGCCATAAAACAGAACCAAAAAAAAAAAAGGTAGACAACGTAACAAGAGGCACATTACCTTGTCTCTTCCGAGGGCAGCATAATGTTGTAAACCATTACATGAACCATCCTTGCGAAGATGAAAACCACCACAATAAAGAAAAAAAGGAAGTCAAGTCTCATTCGGTATAACCTTAAAAGACATTTATAGTAAGGAAGAGATGGATTTTCAGCAAAAAAAAAAAAAAAAAAAAAGCTCCTTAAAAGGCTTAAAGAGAAATTTTGATTCCATATGAAATGAAGTACCTGATGGATAGGAATATGAGATAGATAGTCTTCTGGAGATGAGCTTCTTAATGCATCAGTAAGATTAATGCATGCTGCCAAGCACTGGAAAGGATCTTCTGCAGTTAACCACCAGCGTCTACCTTCCAAAGGCCTATCTGCAGAATCAAAAACATCATCCAGACGATTCTCCGTAAATGCTACCCGACCCTCATATGACAATTTGTCAACACCACCAGCATATAAATTTGCCACGTGTACTTTGAGCCAGTTAAGTCCTGACTTTCCAAGAGGACGTCCCTCAGCAAACTCTAGGATTCCCCGACATAAGTCAGAACCAAGATGATTCAAATGAGGGTGCATGGGGTATGCACGGCCTCGGAAATCCAGGTTGTGTGGATAATAAAATCCCTCCTCATCCTTCATCTTTCTGGCCACCTACTCTTATCACAAAAAAAAAAAAAAAAAAAAAAAAAAAAAAAAAAGAGGCATGAATAAGTAACTATCATTACTAAAAATTGAGCAAGTGACAAAAGTTTATGCAAAGACAATGTCTCACAGCTAGCTTGAGTTCTGTATCACAACGTTGAGAGTGTCTTTCTGCATTATCTTTCTTGACATGTTTAACTTTCCACTTCCATTTCTTAATTTCTTCCGCATCATCTGTATCTGGTTCCTCTGGTAAGGGCATCTGCAACATGACTAACATTAGCAACAAGAAGAACAAAACATTACCAAAAGCAAACTTCTTGATGGACAAACATACATCTTCGCGGTCAACTAAGTCGGCAAGGCAACCTCCACTGGCCCATATCCTGTCTATGATACTAAGCACCTTTTTATTGACCCTCCATTTGGTGTTACCAAGGGTATCAAGAGCCTGAATCACCATAACAGAAACTAAATTATTTTTCAACATGAGAAACATAAAACAGTTGGACAAAAACTAGGAAGAACATTCCTTAAATAGCATCAAACAATAAACCAAACCTCAAAAACGGTACATAAATTGTTGTCCCTTGCAACCCTTTTAATAGCATCTCTTTGTTGTTTAACTCCATGAGTTCGCATGATATAAGACGGAAGATATAGGTATGCTCCTTTGTCGTACCTAACAAAGCAAACAAGGTTCAAAATCTAAAATCTAAAATCTATAATACATATTATAAACATGCCACATGGCCCCTTTCTCATGTCCTAGAAATATACCACACCATTCACAATAAAATTATTACATGCTAATAAAAACGCTTTGTTTAGTGTTTGAGCTCATGACCAGCCATGAAGGTCTTAACATATTAACCACCTTTAACTTGTGCTTTCAAATTTAACTCAAATTATATATATCTAGCATTGATTCGGGTTTTAAGTAATATATAATATGATATATAAAGTAAGTACTTAAGGCAACGCTCAGGCCCCAGACCAGTGTAGACTAAGATGTATGTTCCGAGAAGACATGTCAAAGATGCAAATTACATAATCTGACACTAATCAAACATTCTCTGTATTCTTTCCTCTTCACTCAAAAACAGCACATGAAAGCAAAACATGTTTGGATAGGGACATCAATTATGTTTTATTGATTATTGATGTCCCTATCCATTATCAGAACAAAACTCCCGATTCTCGCACATGAAAAAATACAGTACAAGGTCAATTAGTTGTTGCCATCATCAGAAAAGTAATGCCGGGAAAGGTCATTTCATGAGATTAAAAGAAGAAAACAGAAAAACCAGAAGGGCTTGCTAATCGGAAAAGGTACAACACAAAATTAAAAATGCATACCCAGTCCAGTTCAACGGAGGAATCAACATTGGCATATAAGGAATCACCATGTGCCTTGCCTGATTGAACATTCAACCAAAAAATCAATACCATTATTCTTGATTAAATCAATACAAACAAGGGAAGAATGGCAAGGCAACACTTGGGAGCCAGAATGTACTCACAGTTTTTTCCAAACCCCTGCGGACCAAAGGATCACATTCTATAACTCCATACCTCCTACGGAGTCCTTTTCTGCTCAATAAGAAAGCCAATAACAGTAGCTTAATGATTCATCTTTTCTTTTTCTTTTTTATTTTTTTGGGGGGGGGGGTGGGGGGGAGGGGGGGTTGGGTGCTGGGGAAGGTACCATGTAGAAAATCTTTTAAACTAAAACTTACTGTGATTCTTTACAAACAGTTTTTTGAGTGTGGATGAACGCAGGGCGAATGTCAGGTGGACCATCTGCTAATTGATCTGCTGGAGGTTGTATATATGCTGTTTCTGCTAGAAGTTGAATTAATTTGCAGCCCACCTAAAACAATAATGCACATACACGCACCATAATTAATAGAAACGTAGTCATGAACGTCAAATGTTCAACCACAGCCAAGAATGGTAGCAGGAATTACAAACCTTAACTTGGTTGTCCTGGCTCCATGGCTTCGAATCATCTTGTCCTCTCACTATTTCTCGAACCTGCGAAATTTTTTGCTTCTTCATCAAAGTTGTCACCTTTTTTGCAAGCCTCTGTTGCGCTTTTGCTGAATCATCCTCATCATTGTTGTTAGTTGCAGGTTTTTTCTTTGATTTTTCCAAGAATTTTCGAATTTTAGCCTGACACAAACATCAAATTGAGTTAGCTAGTTTACCAACAATGTGTAACATAATAGCAATTTAGGCTTGGTTCTCTTCACCTTCTTCATATTACTTACTTATCTTGTTACAGCTACACCAAGACTGACAAGATCAAAAGAGCAAAAAAAAAAAAAAAAAAATCTAATCACCTATTATTTACTATTGCTAACATTAATATGATTAGGATTAGATATATTTCTGTTTTCTTTATTATCGATCATTATATAGTAATTATTGGCTACAAAGTCACTATCTATCTATCTATATCTATACTTCTATACTTAGTTTTAAAAACACAAATCATTTATATGCCACATGTCATCACAAATCACTTATATGCCACATGTCACCTTCCTTAAACTTTCCTTTTTTGTATTCCCTTTTTAATATGAAAATTAAAATAAATATATTATACAACTTTAAAACCTTTATGCATTCTGTAACTTGTAAATTTAAGTAAGAAAATGAAGAGTTTCAATTCCACCATAATAAGATTAAGCTGAACTTATTAGACTAATTAGTACAATTACATAGACATATGAAGTATAATAAAAATAGTCTTTTCATCTCTTAAACTTAAAATATAGCTTAAACTAATATGTCATTTCATATTCCACAATATTCATGTATATATACCTAATTTTTTTCTTTTAAGTTTTAAAAGTGAACTTCATTCACCTCAATGGTCATGAAACAATTAATTTGTATTTTACACCAAAGTTCCAAGTTCCAACTATTGAAAAACATACCTACATATAAAAACCTAAATAATAACCCGTTCAAACGGACCAAAAGGCTAGTTAGTCATTATTTCATTAATACTTCCTCCGCTTCTTTTTAGTTGACACATTTCCTTAGTCACGTTTGCCAATGAACATATTCAACCATTAATATATTTAATTACCAATAGGCAAAAATTATTAAAAATAAAACAAGATCCTACATGACTATTTTTAATAACGTATAAATTACAAAATACGATCAAAGGGAAATGTGTGAATCGAGCTAAAGACAAACATGTAAAAAAAATAAAAAATAAAAAATAAAAAAATAATAATAATAAAATGGAGGAAGTATTATTGTTACGAACTTCATAATATTTAATCTTGTCCACTATTGTTGCCCTGTTTGATTAATTTAATTTTTGCTTGGACAAAGTTGATGAGAGAAAAAAATTGGAGGGACCAATGAAGTGAATGTGATAATTAAGTATTGGTCCCTCATGGGCATTAAATTATGTGACAAACTCAAAAGAACAAACTAAAAAGGGACCAAGGCAAACATAAAGGATGGAGGGAGTACTTCAAGATAAAGCAAGGATTAATCAAATTATAGTCAGTTTTGTTTTATGTTTGTGAATTCAACAGTTTTTAAGAAGCTTACTCATGACTTAAGCTTACTCATGACTTGTATCATAATTTGTATACATAAGGTACTTTCTTCAATTAAATGATGTGCTAATGTCTATGAATTATAACCATGTAGACTTGTTTTTAATAAATTAACCCTAAAATAGCATATCCAAGTTATAAGAAAGCCTATAAAAGTCACAATTGCAAAATTTGCACCCTGCAAATTGCACTCGCAAATTTTTAATTGTTATACTATGTAATTAAATTGCGTATAAAATCCAAGTATAAATGCCCAAGTTTCCTTTGGGGTCCAATTCTAAAATGATCCCTATGCCTCATTGGCTAGGAGGTTAAAACAAATACCAATTGCTAAAAAAATATCCTATACTAATGACACGATAACTTCAATGATCCAATTTCTCAACCGATGTGACCATCAATAATCTCAAACAAAGGAGAACAAAACATTATTTGTGTGTGTGTGTGTGTGTGTTTTACATTTCTCTCCTCTCATGGTCACATTTGTGGCAAACCATTATATATTAATATTACATCTCTCTCCTCTCATGGTCCTCATCCTACTTTATATTTTTGTTATTTTTCTCCGGTCACGTCACTTAGTTTGTAACAAGATATTAACCCCATTATATCTTCTTACAATTTGTTAATACACCAACTAACCCACTAAATAACAAACACAATCAAAGCATTAATCCCAAAAATGGGGTCAGCTACATGAACCAAGAATTCATCCCCTGTACTCGCTAAGACGCTAACCATAATTCTATCCTTATGTCCAATGTCATATGCTCTTGAAAATCCAACTTTTTCATGTCCATCTTAATTCCTTCTATTTAGGTCATCTTTGATCTTCCTCAATATCTTCTAAGATCACCTTGATCCCAACCCTCTACTTTCCTTTCCAATCGTAAATTTTTTAGTCTCTATCTAACATGCTCAAAACCAACGGAATTGGTTCTACCTTATTTTAATCCCAATGTGTCTACTAGTACAACTTTCCTTTTAACATCTTCATTTCTAATTCTATTCTATAAGATCTATACAAACAAATTTCTACTCCTCCCAACTACCCCAAGTCTGATTAAAATAAAGTCGTAAATATTGTGTGACGGTAAATTGAAACATTAAAAAAATTAGGAAGTGTTACTTTTGATATCACACATGTGTCAATCTCACCCAAGAAAAATTGACTTGTTTATTGAAAGGTTTTGTTTATCATATACTTAATCCCATCTTTTTTATTGGACATATTTTGACTTTTGGCACTATACACAAACTCTACAATGCCTAGCTTTTGTGATTTATAACTATGATGAAACATATTCATGTAGGGTCTTGTTAGAATCATCTTAATATATATTTCATGATATCAACTTTCCACGGCTTTGGGTTGGTCAACAAGGCCCAAAAAATTAGGGGCCTAAAAAAATAAAGAAAGTTTTCTTCCTCAACCATCCTTCTTTATTCCCCGTGTGAAAATCAAGAGCTTACCTCATTAAATCAAATTAAGCTCTCTGAATTCTCTCTCTAATTTTCCATATTTTGATTTTCAAATAATTAAGGAGGATGTAGTAATTTCAAATCAAAATTGTGCTAATCTTGTGCTTCGTTTTAATTTTACATTAAATAATTTGTATGTTGTTAAAAAACATTTACTTCGTATTAACTCCTTATGTTTTAAAAATTTTATAGGGGCCACATTTTTGTACTCGGCATAGGGCCTCCAAATTCTCGGAGATGGCTTTCTATGATTTTTGCTTATTGATAATTAAAGATATTAATCATTAAGCCTTTGTGTTAGCGTGATAAAGGGAATGTGTCATAAAAAAGAATGGAAGCAGCATCATATCTTATTAATTATATAATGATTAGAAATTTAGAAGTGTTAAGATAGAAATTATCCGAATAAAAGAGCTACATAGCCCAATATTGCAGCAATTACATGTATCATCAATCAATGTGATTTTTAGTGAAGAGGCCTGATGTAGCAAACCCTTTGATAAAATTAGCCCTTGTGCAGTTATTATAATATAATAGTATAATACCTCCATTACTAAAAGATGTTACACTCTAATCATCGTAATTTATTTTAATTGCATTAGGAATCTTAATATTTTATATATCTTATTAGTTTAGAATATTATCCATCTAGGGTTTATGTTAGTTGAAAACCCTATATTAAAGTGTCATTGTATTATTATTAGGAGTAGGGTTTATCCATCTAGGGTTTATTGTGTATCACTAAATTGTAAAACCAGGTACTTGTTCCTGTGTCACATATTGATCTAGGACATGACCGAAAACCAATCTAGTATAACAAAGAAAGCACCATTGAACCAATCACTCTAGGCCATCATCACAATTCAAGACATCCAATAGACAGCAGGCTTACTAAGTTACTAAAGTACAACTAAAGAAGTTTTCCCCATTACTTACATTTCAAATGGTTAACCACATTTAACATCCAAACAATTGAAAAGAACTGCACTAATCTACACAGTTTAACTACTAAAGTTTTCCTTTATTTTACTTTTCCATAGATATCCACATTAATTATTTTCCCAAACACAGTATGAAATATAATGTACACTAAAAGTTGTAAGCTGAGCATTACCTCCTGTTCAACAGCTTCGCCGATTTGGGTAGCCGCCTGGATCACAGTGGTACCCCCATTACCAGAGCCAGTCATCAACAAACCCATCAACTTATGCATTGTGATAACAGCCATCATATCCGCCGGCAATTCATCGAAACACTCACCATAAAGCGGCCGGTTCCTCCCTACCTTACACGCCTCCTGATGAGCCTTAATTGCATCCTTCAAAGGCTCAAACCAACCCAAAAACAAAGACTTCATGTAAGGCAAATTAGGGGCAAGCTTCTGCTCACACATATCAGCCAACAACTCCTGATACTCTCTCGCTGCCTCATTCCATGCTTCAGTCTCCACTTTTATCTGTCTCTTCCTAAGTACATTGTACCTCCCTGCAGTCATCCCAGCAACCATATTGATCGGCTCCTTTCGCCGTATCAATTGCGGCTTTACCCTCTCTAATTTGTTGATTTCATCCACCAATTCACGGATTTCATCATCTTCTTCAGACGATGCTGTCACTATCTCCTCAGCCGCCGCAGCAGTTGCATAAGAACAACTCGTTGATTGGGCATAAAACCCAGAAATACCAAAAGGGTTTGCATAAAACATGAAATTAGAACCACCCATCTCACTATTTCGACATAATAACTCACCATTTCGCCCATAACCCAACATTGGAAACCTGGGATTAACACTATTTTGCCCTAAAAATTGCCTGATTTGTGCTGAATCTTGTGATGATTCCTTCCATCTAAAGACATTTGAAGAGGGTTTAAGCTCTCCTGAGTTTCTAATCTTCATCAAAATCTCAAATTTTGAGGCTTTTTTCCACATCTTTTGACTGTTTTCTAAGATCCAGCAGAAATTTGAAGATATAAGTTAATACCCAGAAAAAATTAGAGGAAAAAATAGGCGTTGAAATTGAAATGGGAGAAACAGAGGAAAGAGAAGAAGAAAGGAGAAGGCCGGCGCTAAGACAGATATCCGCCAAAAACCCTGCTTAAACCTAAGATTGTAGCAAGATTTTGGTTGGAATACAATCTACATACAAAGTGTTTTTTGTTTGTCTACCACCTTTTCCCAAAGTAAGCTTAAGGAGGAAAATATATACGTAAATGGTTGCGTGGCAAAAGTATTTACCAAACTAAGCTTCCAGGATAAAACGATGTACAGCGTTTTATCCCCTGGTTTTTTTTTATAAAAAATTTAACTTAAAAACGCTGTCTCAAACAGCGTTTTACATGTTGACTTTTGTTTTTTAAATTTCGTAATTTTTGATTAAAAAATAAAAATAAAAATTTACACTAAAACGCTGCCTGAGGCAGTATAATTTTATTTTATTTTTTTAATTTTTTTTTTAATTTCTAGTTTAAAAACAAAAAAAGAAAAAAAAATATTATACACCATTGCGTTATTATGATAATGATTGTATTCTTTGGGGTGGATAATTATCAATATGTGATAATGATTGTATTATTTGGGTGGATAATTATCAATATGTGATAATTATCATATCGTATTCGAGTATTGCGGTTGGGGTTGGGATACGATTGTTGCTTCCTATCTTCTTCTCCTCTTTGTATTTAAGTCCATATTCACATGATTGCAATATACTGAAAATACATATGCTTTGATTGCTGTCATTGTTTTGTGTTTAACAAAATCAATTCATGAGCAAATTCTACATACCATCCAAAACGAAGGTGTGTTGCTCAAGTAAAGCCACAACAGAGGACATAAAAGGTTAAAGGTAGGAGTATAGTGAAAGTAAAGGAGAAAAGAACCGTAGAAACTTTGATTAAAGGAGTGAAAATAGGAAGAGGGTCAAATAATTGGTAAAAACCAAATATAAAAAATCCTAGAAGGAGACACTAATCTATAGTGCATGAACATTACGTGTAGAACAAAGAAGAAAAAAGGTTAATTAAGCTAGGAAAATGGGGCAGCTCAAGAACACAACAGCTTTAATATTTTTTTTCTTTTTTTTTAAACTAAAAAAAAAAAAAAAAAAAATTATACACTAAAACCGCTGCCTCAGGCAGCGTTTTAGTGTATTTTTTTTTTTTTAATATCAAAAATTACGAAATTTAAAAAACAAAAGTCAACATGTAAAACGTTGTATGAGACAGCGTTTTTAAGTTGAATTTTTTATAAAAAAAAACTAGGGCATAAAACGCTGTCCGAGACAGCGTTTTACCCTGAAAGCTTAGTTTGGTAAATACTTTTGCCACGCAACCATTTACGTATATATTTTGCTACTTAAGCTTACTTTGGGAAAACGTCCAAGTATTCGACCCGATTTTCTCGAGAAGTTGGAGAACTGTAAGACTTGTAACCACATGTATTCGGATCTACACTAAAGGCCTATAAATTAGAATTGTGCTTAGCGTTGGGTATGAGTCGGGCCCTTATGAAATTACTAAATCCGCAAGATCAGTCGTGATCCCGTTGCAAGCCCGAAACTCAAGGGGTATACGGAGTAACAATGTGTCAAAAAGTAACCCGATTCGACTAGACTTGATTTGATGTAAAAGTGACCTGATTCGAAATTCAACCTGCATGGGCATAATGATTTAACATGATTCAAACCTGAACTAGACCCGAACTAAAAATCTAATAGAATCAGACTCAATTACTCGAATTGACAATTTGACACCTCTAGTCATATGCTTTTGCATCAACATTGTTTTCGGGATTTTTTGTAAATAACCACCCCAATATGTACCCTATATTGAGTTAACCACCTATTTTTTTTTTCAAAATTAAAAAATATCACCTATTAATGTCAAAACCAGTAGATTTCACCACCTTTCTTCAATTTCAGCCCATTTTCCGACTTAGGGTACACGTGTCACCATATAATTGCTAAAACAAACAAAATTAAAAAACAATTCCCTTGACCCCAGCCCCCGGCAGCTCCCCCATCTCCTGCCACCCCACTCAAATCAACCACCTGTCGCACCACCCTTACCCCAACCAACCACCACTCCCGCACGACGAACCTCACCAAGCCCCAACCTTTGCTCCCGAAACCCCACTTAGCCCCCACCGCTGACCCCTTACCACATAGCCGCTTCACCACCAAACCCTCACCCACTTTGTCACTTTCTCAAAATACCCTTACCCGCGTTGCTGTTTCCTCACGAAACCCCCATGTCGTTGCTTCCTTTGCTCATTCCAAGGTTGCACTCTTCAATTTGTTTTATAATTTTATTTTCTATTTTTTAGGGTTTTGATTTGTTGGTTTGATAAGATTCTTGAGTGAGTTTGTAATTGATTAAAGAAGAGAGAGGAAGAGGAGGAGATTTAGAGAGTTGCTTATTATTCTAGAGATATGGGTTGACAGTTGTGAGTTGGTGGCTATGGATAGAACTATAGAAAAGATGGGTGATGGTGGTTGTAAAGGTGGTGGTGAGATTGAAAAGTGGAGGAGATTGCAGGAACAGGTCCAGGAAGGGGAGTGGATGCCGAAAATGGAAATAGGGAAAGGGAGGGGTGCTAGAGGTGGCAGAGCTGCCGCCTTCCAGAGGTGGTAGTGGTGGGTGTGGTTTTTTTTTTTTTTTTTTTTTTTTTATAATTTTGTGGGCCCCTAAATCGAAAAACTAGCCGAACTAGTTAAAAAAATTGCCGGAATTGGAAAAAGGTGGTGAAATCTACTGATTTTGACATTAATGGGTAATTTTTTTTTAATTTCAAAAAAAAAAAGGTGGTTATTTCAATACAGGGTACATTTTGGGGTAGTTATTTACAAAAAAAATCCTTGTTTTCGTAATTTCAAAACCAGCTCATTTTTAACCAATTGATAAAATGTCTAATGGGAATTTTATAACCTAACATGTCATTTTCCTAAAAAAAAAAACAGCCGCCGCACTGCCGCTCCTCCCTTGACCAGTCGCCGCACGCGGCACCTCCTCTGCCCCTCACTGCCCTTCTCCTTGCCTCACAAATCTACCCCCTCCCCTGTAAAATTTCCCACAGCCCCGCAAAACCCTAAACACTCTTCTCCCTCCCCATAAAACCGTCAGCCGCCACTCCTACCACCCTCTAGCCTAGGGTTTCGAGGGTGGTAGGAGAGGCGACTGATGGTTTTAAGGGGGGAGAGGATTGTTTAGGGTTTTTTGGAGGGTTGTGGGAAGATTTACGAGGGAGGGAAGGGTAGCGCAGCGAACGGCGACGACTGGTGGGGGAGGAGCGGTGAGTTGGCTTGGTGGTGGATGAATAAGGTGGGAATTGAAAGAAATGGGTGGTTGTGTGATAGTGATGTGGTGGTGGGACTGGTTGCTAATTTCTCATTGTTTTTCAAAACAAACAACATAGCAAATTGAAGGGTTTTTCATTCCATTTCTTTCCCTTTCTTCATTTCATTACGATTACCCCTTTCAAACCAAACGACCCCTTAGGTTATTATAGAGGGGCATTTTAGTTATAAATTTAATACAAATGGCTAAAATTAGTTTGAGGAATTTTTTTTCCCCAATCCGTAATAGATTAAAATTAGACAATTTTATTCATAATTGTAATGAGTTTTTTCTAATCACAAATTCCACATTTTACATGTACTCGCTTAAATTCTTTGACCTCGATCACTAACATTGCTAACTTGGGTACAGTTAGGGGGGTCTCGAACTCCTGATCCCATACTGTAACCCACTGATCCATGGCTGGTACTGTTTTTCCTCTTGCCTCGTCTAATGAGACTCCCACAACTTCAACCTGGGGAAGAAAGAGTGATTAGAGAACTCTAAAACTGGCCATGTCATTATTCTAAGCTTGTAAACTGTAATGGTATGCAAAAGTGCAAATAGAACATTAAGATTTAGTTAGACTACCTGCTGTGAAGAAATCTGGAGGGGATTCCTCATCGAACTCTCACTGGAAGTCCAAATGCCAGCCAATGCCCAAATACCTTCACCTGTACAGTAAACAAGCAAGGGAAGCAAATAAATCCTGAAATCTACATCTTAATAAGTATGCAAACACATAAATGTAGTTCATCTTATGAATTAGATCTGAAATTAATATCATGATCTTGAATTAGGACCTAACAAAATCAGATCCTAAAATATGAAATATAAATCAATTCTTAACAAATAAAGAACTAATCTGGAATTGATTCATTATTTTACATACTCAGTATAAATCTACTTGATGACATACTAAATCCATTAACTCTATTCAGGCTACTTTACCAATAATTGACTCTATTATAGGCAATCTCTAAGCAAATATTACAGCACCTATTTATAGCTGTAAATAGGCCGCACTATAAACTATTGTCAATGCTCAATTTAAAATTTTCCTGAGCTACACATAAACCACTAAATTTATAGAAAGCCCTCGTGGATGCTAGTCACACTACAAATTAAATCACTGACACTGCCAATACAGCTAATTTATAAGATAATTATGGCTCATGGACTACCGTTTCATAACAATCCATCAACCTCTAATACCCAATTCTGGCCAATTTCAACAACCACAAAGCCATCAACACACTAATACATCTGAGAGTTGGTCACAATGCAACCCTATACACCAGCCCTTTCTTTTTCCTAGCGCTTTGATGAGTTGGTACATTCCCAAAAATGGCAGGCAACTAAAAAAAACAAAGAGAAGATAATAACAGTCAAAAAATAAGCTTGATTCTCAAAGATAATAATCGCAATTCTCAAACAAAGCTTTATATAGGCATGCCAAATTTCCAAGAAAAGTACATAACACATGATCCACATCATCATTGCCATATACGAAGTATAATTTTAGTATCATAGAATTGGAAAAGATGTACTAAACTACTAAATATTTTATAAAAGAGAGATGCTTCTAAGAAGCTACAGGAGGTTAATCAGTGTGGACAAGCATCATCTTAAAATGAATTCCTTACCTAAGCTTACATTCATCGCTAAATGATTCTCCGAAGTTCGATTGATGAGGTGGCCCTGAAAATTCTTTTGATGCTCAGTCATAGTAGCATACAATATAATCTCTCAGTTTTTTTTTCCAGGGCCTTTAATATCTGCAAAGGAGAAATGGATGCAATATGGCATGCAGCTTAGCCACCATCTATTACAACATACAGACTCAGCAGATCATAAAATATATCTTTTTCAATTAATCACAAAATAAAGTATATCAAAGTTTATAGGCTTTTTAAAAAAAAAACAAAAAAAAAAACGCTCGAATGCATGCCTGACCCTCCTTTTCTCTTCTACTTCCTCTTTCATATTTTTTCATTGCTACACATTCCAGACAGATCAAACCTGAAAAAAATTATCTCACCATAAATATTGAACAGCCTAACAATCAAGTGACACAAAATAAAGGCATGTAATCTCGTTAACCTTTCCTCAAAGTCCAAATAATTTTAGTCAAAATCACATTTGAGTAGAAAAAATGATCAGAGTCCAAATTGAACAAGAGCAGCAATAAACGCATAGCATTCAAAATCATCAAGTTTTTTTAATAAATTGCTCAGTCACTAAAATACAAATATATTTATTCAGAAGCACCAGCAATGAATAAAATTAAAAGAAAGTTTCCTAAAAGAGAAGGGTAAATGCACAAATTCCAACTGAAGATAATCAGTGTGGTTCATGCAGCATTAAAAGGCTTCTGCACAGTAATGATTTAATGAAGATATATACTACAATTTTATAGCCAGTATCAAAGAGGCTACTTGATGACATACTACATCTATTGCTAAAATAAAGTGCCTAGTCCTTGAGATATAGCCTTGAGCTAATGCCAGCACGCAAAAAGCCTCAATACTGAAATAAAACAAATATTAATCCTCTACCAATTGACTCTATTATAGCCTTATAGGCCATCTTTTAAAATAAATAAACAAGTAAATAAAATAAAATAAAATAAAAATAGTTCATTTCCTCAAAGAAGAAAATGTCTCAAGTCTTAACCACCTCCAATTTTTTTTTTTTTGTACAACGGTCATAAAAGGGACTAATCCCCAAAAAACCTCAAAAAGTGCAAGTCACACAGAACTGCCAATTTTTGCCCGAAATTCTGCAAGTCACGTACTGATACAATAATCGCCTTTAACCATCTTGAGAGTATTATACTACCCACAAATAATCTTTGAAAAGACATAATCCCTAATATTATAAGATGACTATTGACAAGTCTTCCCAAACCTGCCTTCAAATTTATAAAAACAACAAAGTAGCCTGAATTTGGCCAAGCAAAGTCTTCAAAATACTCCCAATCCACAACAGGGTTTTCTAGACTGAGTGGCTTGTCATGGGGTACTCATTCTATTGTCCCTCACTACTTTTATAGGTATAATTTTGTTTGTTTGTTTTTTTTTTTTTTTTTTGAAAGGAACTTTTACAGGTAAAGTTGATAAAGCAAAATGAATAAAAGATTAATTTAAACAATATAACTTACAAAAGTGAGAAGGGAAAGCAGGACAAGCTTATTCTATACTGGGATGATAATAACACTAGTGCCAAACTGCCAATATCACTACTGCACACTTCCTTAAAAGCAAAGCTCAGTGGTCTCTATAAACTTTCTACTTTCATCTCGAAAATCAAATAATGATGATTTAACGAACCCTCCTTGCTTAGATCACTTTCTAATTATTTCATCATTAACTAATAGGAATAGTTAAACCTCTTATAAGAAAGGACAAGACCCATAAAATTAAAACATAATAAAACTTTGAAAAAAACAAAAGCCTTATGAGAAGCATATTTGTAGGGTAAGGAGGATTTGTCACAGGACTCAATGGTATATATAGAAAAAAAAAAAAAAAAAAAAAAAAATAAAATAATAATAATAATAATATTAAAAAAATTAAAATAAAAATAAAATTGAATGCTATATGTCAAGTAATTAGCATGAATAATAGTCTAATAGTCTTAGAAAGCTACGGGAAGTCAATATCATTCAAAAATCAATACCTAACCAAAGATCATAATGCAAACACTGCTAGTCGGTCTGCTTAGTCAAATTAAAAGGCAATGACGAAATTACCTATGACCCTTTCTGCCATTTTTCCAACTTTTATAACAAAAAACATAGCAAACGCAAAGCAAAAACCTCAAGATAAACTACATTCTTCTAATAAAGCAACACATGAGGAAACAAAAATGCAACATTAATACCTTGAACAGTATTAGGAGAACATCAAGCAGTTGATAAAGCAGAGCAGCAACAGCACAACAGTCCAAAAAAAGCACCTGGAAAGATCAGTTCCATTTAACATGAGAATAGAACAGCCAAGATGAATAGGCCAAGTGGCCAACCAAATCAGCTTAGTTGTTATTCATGGTACTAAATGAAACAACCTGCTTAGAATAATGTAGGCTGCTAAGGCCAATCAGAAACAATCACTTACAAAACGGACATCAACACACATACTTATAAAACCCCATAAATTAACTCAAAAATCTAGTGCTTAATTATAAAACCCCATAAAATCATTAATTCTCTTGGGACAAACTAGGGATTTTAGTGAAGACTACCAGCCTCATACAGTCATTCTCCTTTCAGGTTGGAATCCTGTTTGAAGCACATTCAGGAGAATAGTGTCTAACAACAACGCTTGTTTACGGAAATCAGACTTCTGCTTAAAAAAAAGTGAAAATTCAGCAATAACAGCAAAACTTAACAAAAGCAACAGAAGTATTGAACACAAATCTAAACAATTACTCAGAATAGGTCACTACAACAGTTTAGTTAAGAAACAGTTTCAAAGGGTGGAACGAGAGATCTGCAAAATCTGAAATGCATCATCTAACTTTACACAAACATCAACAACTCGGGTCTACTATAAATGTTTTCTCCTTCATTTTCCAAAGTCGGATAAGCAGCAACAAGAGCATCCTGAGCTCCAATATACAGAGAATTATATATCTTCCAGTAGACTTCCCTTACTTTCCTTGCTGGGTGGAACAAACCCTGCAGACAGTAGTTCAGTATTGCAGCGGCACCCAATGCAACTCTCATTCCCTCAATGGCTTCTGTAACAGCGTTAATAACGTGAGGTGAAGTCTCGAAGATATTGGGCCACACGTAATTCATAAGGTGCACCAAAGCATCTTCACAGCCTAGACCTGCAACACCAAGAGCCATATGTTTCACGGCAGAAGCTGCAGTCTGACGATGAACCAGGTCCCTGTCCATAAGAGCATCTTCAAGGAGAGGAGTCACGGCATAGATATAATCCTTTCCCATTTCACCAATATATTCAAAGAGGAAAGACAGAGATTTGAGGACACCATTCTGCACGTTAAGCTCAGGAACACGGTATTCATTCATAAGAGCTGGCAAAACGGTGAAAGGTGAGCAAGTCTCAGCAACGATTGCAATAGCCACGGTTGTACAAACACGATTCTGACGTTCTTGCACCTTAAGGTTGTTAAGAAGAGTAGCCAAGACATCCTGAGGTCCAATAGCTTTGGCGATGTACCCAAAGGTGTTGACAGTGGCTCTTCGAATTCCTTTCTTGTGAGCCTTGAGCATCTCCAGAAGCTCAAAGCATATCCTCATCCACTCTCTTGCAGGAACAAATTCTGCTCCACGATCTGCAATACGTCCCACAAGATCAATGCAGTTCTCCTGTACTTTCTCATGCCTGTTCTTTAAAATAGGAGTCAACCTAGGTAGCAGATCTTTGATTGGTGGAGTCATCTTGGTCATACCAATGACGTTAACAATTGCTTTCAGTGCTCCCAAGATTGAACCCAGCACTTCTGGATACTCCTCTCCTAGATACTCGTACAAAACCACACCCAAGTGTCCCATAAGCTGCTCCTCTCCACACTGTTTCATAACCACTGCAATTCGGGAGATAAGGTCAGCAGCCTGCTGTCTTACTTTTGCACTCTTGTTATTCAAACGCCACTTAATTGTACCACATATCTGGGGGAGATAAGGTTTGACCCTTTGGCCAAGGGCATTGACCACAGCACCAAAACCATTAAGCATGACATTGGCATCATCACTTGTCTGCTCTTGAAAGGCGTACAGAATACCATCAATCAGAAGCTCCTCCAAGCGAGATTCAATATCAGATGCCCCCAAGTTTGTCACAACTTTCTCTATTGTCTCCATGACCATACGCCTATAGGGTTCACTCTCATCTTTAAGATCCTCCACTATCCTACCAACTATATCAGCAACGCCAACCTTGTTGGCTATCTCTACAGTAGTTTCCACAAGCTGCTTGTAATTTCTTCGGTCAAGAGCCATTCTCCTAACCCAAAAGTTCTTAAAGAATTCAGGAAGGATATCACTTCTAATGTAGTCAGCCTCTACACCCTCAGTGCTAACACACTGCTTAACCACTTTCAGAACAATCTTCTTCATTTCTTCATCTGGTGACTGGAACTCTCGAATAAGAATAAACATAACTTCTTTTGTATAGTAGCTAGCATAAAGAGCATCCATCAACGGAATGATAAAACCGATGGCCTTCAGGAATGCAGCCAAGACCTTTCCACGGTGTGATCTGATACCTTTCCACAAAGGTTTCAATACAGAGTCAAAACTCTCAATACCATACGGGGCTGAAGCCTCAGCTAGAGCTGCCAGAGAAAGCGCAGTAATTGTTCTGACCTTCTGGTTCTCATCATTAAGACCATGTTCTATGATCTCCACCAAAGATCTTAAGTGCGGCAGAACAGCACAACCAATCAAAATGGCTATCTGTTGGACAATCTTAATACCTGTATGCCTAGCTTGCCATGACTTCTTACTTTGACAAACTGCCTTTAAAAATGGCAACAGGGCAGGTATACCTAGAGCTGAAGCAACAACACTAAAAGCCCTTGCGGTTGTATTCCTGACATACTCATCAATATTATCAATATCCGGTCTCATGGCAGCAATCATAGTAGCCAATCCAGCAGCCTTGCTCAAGTTTGAAATAATCTCCCTCCCCTCAACACGAGCGTAGTAGTCTTCATCAATTAAGAGTGGCTCAATAACCACAAGAATTTTGTGCACAAAAGGTCGAACCAACTCATCAAGCTTGTACAGCACCCTGTCAATAACTTTCACAAGAAGATGTCGTTCTTGGTCTTCCAATGTCGGCTGCATAAGCAGAGGCAAAATTTGGTTAAACAACGGACCAGCACCAAATTCTCTTGCTTTGTCAGTGAGTTGTCGCAATGCAGTCTTCCTCTGAGGAGGAGTACCATTTTTCACTTTAAGTAGCAACTTCATAATCTTTCTTTCCTTCTGCTCCTCGGGTGACAGCTCTTCCTCGTTTTCATCATTCAACAACGCCTGAAAATATTGATAATCCTCAGGTTTCATAAATGGCAACCCATTAGCAGGCTCCTTTCCAACATCAAATTGCTGATTCCTGTCTTCAACTGGTATTTGATAAAGTGGAGTCCCCATTGGAGTGGGTGTGGCAAGAAGCTTCCTTGCTGGAGTCCTAATTGGCACATATGAAGCAGGAGGATCCAAGATCTTATATCCTTCAGGTGGGAACATGGAATCAAGCTCTTCATCAGTCAAGGGTCTGTTCCTCTCTTCAATATCCTTCTCCCACTTCATCAAGTTATACTGTTCTGGAGTTACAGGGCCACGCAGATTAATCTGCCCAGGAGTAGGTGTAGCCATATCAACTCCACCAACAGGTGTCACACCAGGGGTCATAGCCGCAGGAGTTGCCCCAGCCATGGGTGTTGCACTCCCCATGGTAGCTGGAGTCTCATCCCACCTTGATCTCTGACGTTTTGGTGTTGGTGTTGCCATACCAGTGATTTTTGGAGTGGCATCCCAAGTCGATCCAGCAGGAGTGGCACCAGGAGTGAGCCCACCAGCAGACGGAGTAGAATCAGAATCTTGTGCACGGCCAGGAGTTGGTGTCTCATCCCACCTATTCTTCCGAGCAGATGGTGTAGCATCGCCAAGTCTCCCTGGTGTAGGAGTGGCATCCCACCTTCCAATTCCAGGGGTAGAATCGGCTAAATCCCAGTCAGAGGAAGACTTCGCTTTCTTTGCTACACCCTCATCCCCTTGCTGATCCTGAGATTGATCCCACCTATTTCTCCTCTTCTGAGAAGGCTGAGCTTGAGCAGCAACACCACCACCAGCTCCTTTCTCCTCTTCCAAACTCTTCTTCTGCTCCTCCTCTTCTTTCTTCTTTTTAGCAATCAATCGCAACGTCTCCTCCTTATCTCTCCTCAGCGCCTCCTCCCTCATCACATCAGCATAAGTCCTGACACCAACATCCGGGGTCTTATCCCCCATTGCAAAAGCATCATGCCTCGCAGGAGAAATAACCCGATCAAGCCTCCTCCTCCGATAATCATCCTCACGATCAATAATCCTTTGTGGCTTCCTCAACCCATCATCATAGTCAGCCCCAGCACCAGGCATTTCCTTTAAAAGAGACTTCGGAGCCGTGTAAGAAGCCAATTTCCGAGCCACCTCATTATCCATAGCATCGGCATTATCTTCATCGTCATCAACAGGGATTGACTGGACATAATCCTCCCTCCCACTACTCCCATAAAGATCAGTATCATAGGTAAGAGATGAAAGTGAGGCTAGTTCCTGCTCCATCTTCTTCCTCTCCTCCTGAGTTTTTGCTATCTCTGGGTCTATTGACGCCATTTCTCAAATCTAAACTGATAACCCTTCCTATTCACTTCAACAGAAATCTGTACCAAAAATAAATAAAATCTAATGAGTTCAACCAGCAAATTAAAACATAAACAATAATCTCAATCAAAGAAAAAAATTCAAGCTAATCAAATCATAAATTCACAGAAAATTGCAAGAAAAGAAACAATCAAGCATACAATCAAGAGATTAAATTGAAATTGCAAATCAGAAAAGTATGAGCAGGAATTAAAAACACGAATCTAAAGAGAGAAATAGATACCTGGGAAAAGAAGATGCGGTGCACGATAATGAAAGATGTAAACTGTTGGTAATTGTTATGTGGCGGTTTAATTAGTTGTGTGCTTGATGGCGCTATGACGGTGTAGGGGATGGGAGGTGGTGACTGGAGAGAGGATTGGAAATGGATAAAATGGTAAATAAACTGATTTAGTTCTAAATTATTTTATTTTTTTTGGCAAAATATCCAAAATTATACTCGTCAAAAAACCCTCTAAATATTTTTTTAAATTCCTCATGAGACAATTTGAAAATAAAGATTACATAAACAGTGTCCCTCATTGCCAACAAGGGCAGCAACAGTGCAACACAAACAAACAAGGCAAGATAAACAATCACTACAATAAATAAGATCCACGTAAATCTCCCTCTTAGGTGAAAATTTCTCCCTATTAGCTTCGAAGGGCAACTAAAATTTCGTCCTCTTTGATCACAGTCAAAGAGGGCAAAAAATTTCGCCCTAAAAACAATCCAAATTACACAATTTGAAGCTCAATGTTATACTTGGTACATTATACAGCCAATTGGAAATACAGTATATTGGAAGGTGATTAGCATGTTCATTATTTATAAACATCAATAGATAATTAGACAATTTCCTATCAGCATAATAATTCAAATGTCATTTGGAATTAGGCTTTGCAAAATCAGCCATCACTTAAAAATTAGAATTATATATCATCATACAACTCAAAGAAAGAAATTATGACATATATTTCAGAAAGTACTTAAAACTAAAGTATGCTAATGCTGCCTTAATCTTATTACTTGAGCATGAGCTCGTTGTTCATCCGTATAACCTCATTCGTAATCCTAATCACTAGCAGATTTTTTTGAAAATCCATCATCAAAAACTCCACTAGCAACAATTAGGAAATCCACAGTCTATCTGACATAGCCTCTATATTACTTGCATAATTAAAAACCCCAAAAACTTGCAGAGTTAGCAATACTAACATGCAGCAACAAATTGATAAAGAAAAAAATCAACAAAGCAAGGATTTCGAGAATCAACAAATTTTTACAAAATCAAAAGCTTAATCACATAATTTCCAAAATTAGTATAATTGCAAAAATTTAACAAAATCGATACCTTATACTTGCGATTCGAACGACTTCGAGCAATGATTTGAAGAAACAATGTGTAAAATCTGAACGTCTAGTAGGAGCGAAGAACTAGAGTAGCAATTTTTGAGAATTAGAGTAGCGCGATTACGAAGGAAAAAATTAGGGTTCATACAATTTTTACTGGTTAATAAGAGAGAGAACGTTTTTTTTTTTTTTTTTAGGGAAATTCTCATTGGTAGGTTCGTACTTTTGCTTATTTTCATTGGTAGCCACTTTTTATATGAATTATTGCTAGTCTCAAACTTTTAAAATTTTACTTTGTAGCCATATTTAGCTAAAACTGTTAACTTTAACTGAGATTAGTTTTATAATAATTAAAAAATACTTAACTAAAGTTAGTTATATCATAATTGAATTAATCTTAAAAAAATAAAAATTAAAAACAACTTTCCCGGGTAGCGGCGGCGCTGGCAGAGAAGGATGGAGATGGGACCAGGTAAGGGAGGTAGATGGGGGGCTAGTGCGTGACTACGTGGGGGGAAAGCCGAAAAGGGGTGATTAAAATAAATATTTTTTAAAAAAAATTACTTTATTTAGTTAATTTTAACACCATTTAACGGTTTATAGTAAATACGGCTACGGAAGTAAACTTTTAAAAGTTTGATGCTACCAAAAATAATTCATATAAAAAGTGGCTACCAATGGAAATAAGCAAAAGTATGAGGCTACCAATGAGAATTTCCCTTTTTTTTTTTAATTATGGCCGGTTTTGTTCAATTTATCTCGATGTTAAATACCATCAACAATATTTATCAAAACCTCCAACATTTATGTTGAATGGACACAAATTTACCCTTATTTAAACCTAAAGATGGGCATCGTGTCGTGCTTGGTCGTGCCGGGGTGGGGCTCGTGTCGTGCCGGTTTGGTGGCGGGTCGTGCCGTGCCAAGTTTTGGCACACCCTAGCCCACGGCACGGCCCGCCAAGCGGGTGCCGTGCCGCGGGCCACCACGGTTTTTTAATTTTTTTTTTATTTTTAAAAATATATATATTATACAAAATCGATAAATATATTATAAAATTAACGTGCTGGCGTGCCGACGATCGTGCTCGTGCCGTGCCAAATTTCAAGATTTGTGTTCACGGCACGGCCCACGGCCCACAAGTGGGCCACCGTGCCGTGTGGTGCTAGTGGCTGGGTCGTGCTGGAATTGTGTCGGGCTCGTGCCGCCTGCATGCCGGCACGGCCCATGCCCACCTTTATTTAGACCCTACCCATCTTCTTCTATCTCTTTTAATTTTTTTTCTCTCTCATCACCCACAAAAGGCACAACCACCACTTCTCAACTACCATCAACCACAACATCGGATGTACATCGGAGGTGAAGGGAAGCAGCAGCCGTACGTAGGAGGTGGAAGAGCAGCGACGACAATTACCACAGGGGACATCACGATGGTCGGCAAAGTAGTTCATCCCCAATTTTTTTTCATAATCACTGATGCTCACACAAAGCCAAAACACCACGGTAACCGGTTTAGGCGCTGGTCACCATGGTCAACCGACGTGCAAAACCGATCACTCGGGAAAGGTAACTAGTTTTGAACGTCGATTATCATGGTCAACCGGCGTTGGAAACCGTTTTCCGCCCCGGGTGATCGGTTTTCATGCCGATTGTGCTGGCTAGTGGTCATCGGAATATAAAGAAACCACCACCCTCCTGCCAATGAGGGAAGGTGGTGCCGTGGTAGGTCGTTTTTACCGATGATTCTTGGCTGTTGTTGGTGGTTCCAGCAAGGCAACAACACAAACAAAAAATCTGGTGGTTGTGGCTTGTGGGTGGTGATGGTAGATGGTGGTGGTCATGGTGGCGTGATGTTGGTCGTGGGTTATGGTGGCAATGGTGGTTGATTTTGTGGTGGTTGATGGTTGAGTTTGAGCTTAGTGGACTTAGGAGAGAGAAAGCAAAGTAGGGATGAGTAAAGGTAATTTTGTCTCTTCATCACTTTTGTTGGCGGTTTGATAAAAAAAAAACGTTGGAGGTATTTAGCAATCCACATTTTAAATGGGACAATATACCCCCTTCTAAATAAATAAATAATAATAAAAAAAAATATCAATGATATAGGTTATCACATTTACATTTATTTACCTTTGTGATGTTTGTATCCTTCAATTTCCTCCCCATGGAAACTCACCAACGCAAATCATATTTCAGAAAACAAACTAATAAATTCAACGAGTATTTGACTTGTATATCCGAGTAAACCATGTACACGATATACTCGATAAAAATAAAAAAAACATAAAGAACAATCTAGTGTTTGAAAAAAAGCACATTAATATATGTTTGACAAAAAACATAACATTGCAGATAACATAAACTTTTTAGTAAAAGAACATCATAATACATCAATGAGCAAATAGTTTAAATTCTAAGAACATAATGATCAAACTCAAAGAACATATGCTTGCATTCTTAAAAAAATGTCTATAATATTCTTTTTTTCGCCCATGTTCTTTAAAATATGCATAATTTTATTTCCGGATGCTCAATGCATTTTTGCAAACACACATTAGGCTTTTTTTGACAATCATATAAGCACCTAAAATAATAATAAAATAAGATTTTCTAAATATTAGCTCTATCCTAGAAATCTTCTGACCAAGAAAAGTACTAGTATAATCGACTCCCTCAAAAAGTAGGCGAAAATGCACCGTACTCTGCCATGTCTAGCTATCCCTTCCCTCTTCCATACAATTCCATGGACGATATCTCCCCACAAAATGAGTAAAATATCTGAGCCAAAAATGTTCAATCTACCAAACAATAACTACAATCATCAATCTTGCCATGGGTCATTCTCTGTAATGACTTCAGAGGGTTCAACCACTTGGCCATCTGTAGCTTCTTCAGCTGTCGCACCACTTTCTGATGAATTGTCTTCCGATGAGCCTTCTGCACTTTCATCTAATCTTCCCCATCTCCCTCCAAGGGCCATTGTCATCATCTCATAGATCTTGTTTCCTAAGTCTGAAGGGCTGTCAGGCTGCAAACAACATACATCGCATGTTAAAACTAATCACATGAAAATACCAAAAGCTGATTTCCGTAGGAGTTTGTAACTCACCGTGAATCCACTGGATACAAGGGCTGTTTCATATAGGAGATCAACAGCTCTTATGGCATCATTGCTGTCCGGTGCATTCTTGCAGGCAGCCTATAAACACCAAAATAAAAATAACCCATTAGTCACCCACTCAACATAGATATTCCCTCTGTCCCACTATGAATAGTCCTTAAAAGACTGCCCAATTTCCTCTTTTATTAACATGATCCCCACCACCTCTTTACTTTATTTACTACCCCTATGTATAAATAGCAATTATACCAACCTACCCAATACAACTCTTAGCAAATGTGAAGAAAATGGGATGGGGAAATCTCTAATGAACGGAGGGAGTAACAGTTTAGCCAAATATGATATTTCCATATTTGTAGAAGCCATTACAATATTAAAATAAGATCAAAGATATGCACTTGTCAAGCAAAAACTTAGGGTATACTTTATTTCAAGCCATCTAATTTCAACAGATGGATATATCAAACAGTATATTGCAATTGCAATTCTGAGGAGCTTCAAGAAAAGATGATTCAGCTAGCACTAAAGCCTGCAACTTAACAATTTGCGCATACTATAACTCTATAAGTAGTTTAGTAAGGTTTTCCTCTAAAATTTCTCTCTAACAAAGGCTCCAGAACCACCCACCTCTCTCTACTTTTTCACAATTTGTAATCTACTCCCTCCGTTTTTAAATACTCGCTCCACTTTTCTTTTTCGGCCGTTTTTAAATACTTGTTCCATTTCCTTATTTGGAAAGCTTTTACAATATTTGATTCATTTATCTCACTGGTGGACCTAACATGAATAATATTTTATTAATTTCATATTCTCTCTCCTCCAATTTTCTCCACTACTTTTGGTTTTAATAATTTTATATTCTTCCACCTAACCCACTACTTCCATATTTTATTACTTTCTCCAATTTCCCCTAAAACTCCGCGCATGGAGAAATGAAGCAAGTATTTAAAAACACAGGGAGTATTACCTATGGGCCATTATTAATGTTTGTAACACTTATTAACAGATTTTAGAAACATATGAGTTTATTTTCATTCCTGTTTCATCATTGTGAGTTAGAGCTAAATAAATATAATATAAAACTTACATAAAGGTCTTTAACAATGGGGTGATCAGGATTGATCTCTAATATTCTCCGGCCCCTCATGAACTCCAAGCTTGAGGTGTCTCCAAGAGTTTGAGCTTTCATCAACCTAAAGGAGAGCAGTAATTGCGATCAAATTCGTAACACATAAACTTGCCCAAACTTGAAACCAAGAAGACACAACATAATTAGCATACCTTTCCATGTTCGCTGACCACCCAAACTTTCCAGAAACAAGCACACAAGGAGATGAGGCAAGACGTTTTGATACTTGGACCTTTGCAACCTTATCACCAAGTTGTTGCTTCATCCAATCACACAGAAGATTAAACTCTTGTTTAGTCTCCCGTTCCTTTACTTCGTCCTCATCACCTGAGAATTTATAAAAAAAAAAAAAGGTTAGAAAGTTCTTTGATCATGTTACATAGATTACATTCCATACAGGAAAGATGGAAAAAGCAGACTAACCAAGTTCCAGGTCTTCCTTGCTGATATCAACAAACTTTTTCTCTTTATATGTTTGCAAGTTCTGGATGGCAACCTCATCTATAGGCTCAATCAAGAACAGAACCTGTAACAAATCACCAACGAGAACATTGGTACACAGGTTTAGAAACATCATACAATTATTGATACAATTAAGTGGAAAAGTTTTCCATCTGATAAGCTAAGCAAGGAGAATCATTTTTCATTAGAAAAGGCTAATCTGCAGCAAATGCAAATGAAGCTTTAAAAATACATATGGGTCAGTTCAACCAGAGATTTGATATCTAATAGATCATAGTTAATTTAAAAAACACAACATACCTCAATTTCCTTTTGCATCAACTTCTCCAAGAACGGAGCACTCTTTGCACTTTTAAGGCTGTCTGTTGCCAAGTAGTAGATAGCATTTTGGTTCTCACCCATGTTTTCAACATAATCATCTAAGCTTATCAAGTCTTCCTCGCTTTTTGATGAGTAGAACCGCAAAAGAGGTGTAAGCCGTTTGTGGTTTCCAGTGTCCTCGATACAACCCAATTTTAGAAACTTACCAAAGTTCTCCCAAAATTTTTTGTAGTCCTAAAGCAAATTCACATTATATCAGTATTAGAGATAGTCTTCAGTAGAGGATCATGCAATTAGATTAGAGTATTGCTAACCTCTTTATTTTCACTCTCTGATAACTCTTGCACCATGTCAAATGTCTTTCTTACTAATCTTTTTCTCATGATTCTTACCTGCATCACAGTAGGATCAAGTTCAGACCAATGATCATACAAATATTAATCAAATTATACAACCATATAAAGAAACCAGCAAGATCAACCAAAAAAAAGGAAAAGGAAGTAGGCCTTACAATTCTGCTTTCTTGAAGAATTTCTCGAGACACATTTAGAGGAAGATCATTAGAATCCACCACACCCTTCACAAAACTCAAATATCGAGGGAACTGCAGAGGAATAAAGATATGACAGTAAAAAATTAGTACTTGTCCAAGTTGCCTGCATGAATGTTAACCTTGAAAACTATTTCTAAGTGCCATTGACCACCTCACTCTACAAAACAATTTGCAAGCAATGTTTGAAACTCTACGTCACTTAGTATCAAAAATCAACAAGTCAACCTCCATAAATTGCATAGATTTGGTTTATTGGTTATTAGCATTAAAATAAAGGAGTGTTCACCCATGTAAATACTTGATCATTTTATGAAAAGTTGCATGTCCTTAGTGCAAAATGAAATACATACTTCTATACCCATGTACGTAGAGTCATTTATTTTGAGCAGATATTCAACCTACTGATACTCCTGAACAAAATTAAACCTAATAAAGATTAGGTTAAATCTCTTTATAGGTGGCTAGTTTACCCTGACTATGGTTTAGACAAGATGTAACTGCAAAGTATGACACATGAAACATCTTGTCAAGCAAACTAGAACAACTTGCTCAAAGCAGGCATCAACCACAATCCGACTTTGAAAGGCATCAACATTCACCTCACAATTCAATTGCCAAAAGTTTGAAAGGGAAAGCCAAAAATCAAATAGAATGTCTTAAAAATGGCAGACGGATCAATATCAAGATTAAACAAAAATCGCAGCTACGCATTGACATTCAGTGATAAGACCTAGGAGAGCCACCGCACCCGCAGGGGGGGGGGGCTAATTATCTAACTACCTCAAATAATTACACTGTATACAACTTCAAGCAATCCCCAAATAAGTGTGAGTAGCTACCTTAAGTGATATGTGGTGTAGGCCTGAACACTTATATCTCACTCTCTTTCTTATGTCTCATGTGATGTAGGGCCCTCATTAAACTCTCCTACCGCATTTTCAATACTTACATTTTCATTATCCACCTAAAATACCTACATTATCCAATTATCTACTCTTAATATGCATGCTCATTCTACCCATGCCTAAGAGGACGATAATATGCACACAAAAGGAGTATCTTCTAACTTATACTTCCAGGTTCATAACTTGTAGTTCCTTCTACGACTAGTACTGAACTACTGATCAATAAATTCACTTTCAACCCTAAACGTTTTCCCGAAAACATAAAACATGAGCTCCACCTGTCTTTTGAACTTATTAAACCATTTTCAACTTTCTGATTATATATATATATATATATATATATATATATATATATATATATATATATATATATATATGTATGTATAATTACAGCTGATAGAATTTTTTTTAAACACAAATAAAAAATAAAAAAAAAAAAAAAAAAAAAAAAAAAAAAAAAACACACACACACACACACATAATTACACAGCTCATAGAAGTGACAGAACTGTAACTCTGCCTGAGAAATCTACATAATTCAAGTGCCACATATAGCATGAACAGAAAGACATAGTGCCATGGATTTATATAGACCACCCAATTGTATAATTTGCAAGACTCACTTGCTTGGTTAGCTAAAGGGAATTTCCGAGAAAGGCAAGATATAAAGAAACAAGGGGGAATACGGACCAGTTCACCATCGAAATCATCTGAAATGAAGACACGTTTTACATACAGCCGTATGTTCTTTGTCTTAGGACTTATAACATCTTCGTTATTCATAGGTGCCATCCCAGGGATAAAGAGAACACTCCGAAACTCCACTTCTCCCTGCAATTACATTTGCTCATGTCAAGTACAACCAAATACGTATCAATTGAAGGCCAAAACAAGAAAAGGCTAGATATATAATACCTCTGTCGTGAAGTGAGTATATGTAAGTGGGTCCAAGAATTCATTGAAAGTCTTCTTGTAGAATTCATAGTACTCGTCTTTTGGGACTTCTTTAGCACTTCGCATCTGAGACGTAAATTCAAAATGCATCATGATCAGTAATTTCTCATAGTACACTCAGAAAGCAAAAGAGTCCAAGATGCAACAATTTTAGATAACATTCCAATGAAAGAGGAAAGCACTCACCCATATGGGCTTAGTCTCATTGGTCAACTCCCAGTCCCAATATTTTTCAGTGACAGTCTTTGTTTTCTTCTTTCCATCCTAGAAGAAGAACAATAAAATTAAAGCAAAATACCACTACTCTAGCATATATCAACTTCAAGAGCAGAATGAAATCCACCTCTGGTTTCTCTTCTCCCTCTTTTGGTTCTTCTTCTTCCTCCACCTGCAAGGCCAACAAAAAGTTCACATCATGCTGAACATCAAACAACTTTTTAAATGGTAGGGGCGTCTCTGTGCAAGTTCTTTGGACTAAATACATGTAATCAAGTCAGATTCACAATGAAGAATTTGTAGATTGTTATTTGTTAGGAAGTTCAATGTTGGTGTTTTATTAAGTGTTATAAATATTTAAATTTCAAATTCAGTTTACTGGAATCCAAAATTCTATTTCAATTTAACTTGCTATGGAAATTAAAATAAATATTCAAAATGAACTCCGTTGTCTCATTGACATTATAAGCTAAGATAACTTCAACAAACTTTTTTTTAACACCTTTTCAACCCACTAAGATACCGGAATCTAAATCATCCAAATACTTCTATGCAATAACAAATTATCAATTAAAGTATGACATTATGTGATCTCACGGAATACACATTACTTGCAACCCTTATCCAAACCTGCCCCCTCAAACCCCAAACGAAAAAAGAAAAAAAAAATGCTTGATTTAAAGCCTTTTTAAAGCCTCAACTACATACATACCCAGTATGTTGAGGGGAAAACATTTGCACTATAATATAGATTGCAAATTAAGTTAGATTGATTGATTGTTATTTCTAAAATCCATTGAGTTCGGGATACTACAATTCAATCAAATCAATTTCACCACTACCAAAAGGTGGCAAAGAAAGAACAAACCAAAACTTCTAAACCTTCACATTTCGAATCATTAAATGATAGACCATATACAAAAGCGACAAGGAAAATTCAAGCAAAAGCTAGGAGTTCAATCTGCAGTAAAAATCAAACATAACAAGTACTAATGTAGCACATCTGCACATGTATTCTATGTTTCTCATAAACTTAACAGTGACATTGCTACATGTAAAAGGAAAAACATGTTACCTCCACAGTTTTTGATTTTTCTTGCCATGTGTAGATGGGAAAAGAAACAAATTGTGAGTAGTTCTTCACCAAATTCTGAATTCTGGCAGGATCTGAGAATTCGTACTTGTCATCAGGCTGAAAAAATTAGGAAATAAAAAAAAATAAATAAATAAATAAAAAAAATTAGCAGGTATATGACCAAGATGACCCTCAAGTTTCCTCACGCACAAGCAATCAAGCAAATGAGCTTATGCAACTTCATAGGTATTATAAAGCAATAAAAGGCATATTCTTGTCCAGAAATGTACTTCTAGCTTGAACAAAAAATGATTTATCTAGCCAATATGCAGATTGCAGAAATCATAGAAACTAATGAACACAGCACACACATCAAAGTCACCACAAACATGAAAAGCATTTTAAACTCCAGTAGAAATTATTGTACATAACAACATATGGAATCAGCAAGTAAAAACATATATACCCTTAGGTACAGCGTGATTTCTGTTCCACGCTTCAGGATCTTTTCAGGGTCAGTTTCTTCCCTGATTACATATGAGCTACTGTCAGCTGCTGCTTCCCAGATATACTGCTTGTCAGACCTTGGGCTCTTTGTAGACACAACAACCTGACGAGAGGAGCAAATTCTAGTTTAAAAATCTGTCTCGTTCATTAACTCCATAATCAAAGTAACAACAAAACAAAGTTTGCACAATCTCAGTACCCTGTCTGCAACCAGAAAGGCAGAATAAAATCCAACACCAAATTGTCCAATTAAACCATTGTCTGCACCAAGGTCTTGGTTTTCCTGCACATAAACAGAAAACTTTAGGAGATAAAGCTTATGAAAAGTACAGTAAATTATTAATGATTTCATGCACAGATTACTTTAATCAAAACATACAACTATATCACAAAAAAAGGTTTCGAGTACCTTCAATGCTTTTAAGAACTTGGAAGTGCCACTCTGTGCAATAGTACCCAAACAATCAACAAGCTCCTCTTTTGTCATTCCAATACCAGTATCCCTAAAGATTGAGATACATACAAACTCAGAATTCGATAATTAATGAAATTGCAGCATATCGACTGATCGAATGCATACCTAATTGTGATGGTCCCATTATCTGGATCAGGTTTGATCCGAATTTCAAGCTCTCCTGCTTCCCCAAGTAGAGAGGGATCGGTCACACTTGAAAATCTTAGCTTGTCCAATGCATCACTTGCGTTACTGAACAGAAAAATCAATTCTAATCAGTTGATATTGCTCATTTTTATTTAATTTTCTTCCTACTCTACGCATTTATGCAAGATCAAAAAACCTCCATTTTGTCAAGATATTGCAAATGCATGTTTAGAGAACCGAAGTTCAACTGAGGTAATCAAGACATGATAAAGCAACTACAACTTCCTGAAAATGAATTCATTAAGGTTTAATCAAATCTTTGTTTTCTTGTCAAATTTTAAAAACACAACTACCCTAAGGACTTAAGTGCCCTAAAGCCGAGCCTAAAGCAGATGCCGGATTTAATGATAACAAGGTAACAACGAAGCCACCATGGCGCGACTTGCTGGCTTGTTAAAACCTTCAAGTTCTATTGCTTTACAATAATCGCACAATTTACAAACTCCAAATTACATGTGAAATGAAAAAAATAGTACATATAATGTCACTCTTTGCGAGTGAAAGAAACAAACCTAACAAGTTCTCGGAGAAACACTTCCTTGTGACTGTATAAACTGTGAACAATCAAATCCAGCAACCTACTCACCTGCAATGAAAAACCACAGCAATTACACTCAACCTTATCGAAAACCCTCAAACAAAATCATTGATTGAACTAAATTCACCTAGTTTTGAATCATATCAAATTGTCAAATCCAATAACAATTACCCAACAAAAAAATCCACTCAATTAAAAAAAATAAACAATAAATAAAACGATACACGCATCAAAATATTAATTACACCAATCGACGCGTAATAGAAAACCCACCTCAGCCTGGTACTCAAACTTCTCACCCTCAGCCTCAGGAGCCTCTTGTTCAGCAACAGCAGCATCACAACGAACAGACAATTTATTGGGTTTTCTCTGAAACTTCTTCTCAATGCTAAACTTTGGGCAATTCCTGGGTAATTTATTATGCGGGAAAAAACTACTGCTCAAATTCAAAACTTTGTTGTGGGTATTTTTGAGGGTGAAAGAAGAAGCAGAAGGAAGTGAAGCTAAAGATGCAGAAGCCATAGTTCTGCTAAGAACAGGTGCCATTGAAGAGAGAGAAAGGAGGGATTTTGAATGAAGATAAGTGAGGAATGAAGAGTGAAAGCCCCTCTTTTAGGCTCTCAGTTGAAAGGGTTTAAGGGAGAGAGTAGAGGGTTCTAGAAAATGGAGGAGGAAATTCAAAATGGAGTAGTAGTAGTTCCTTGGAGTGTTGCGTGTGGGATATTGTAAGGTGTAGATGATTCCCACATCATCATCTATTCATCTTATCGTTTACTGTAAACGATTTTATAATTAAGTACTCGGAGCCCTTAATAAAAAAGCTACTGAGTAAAATGTAATTTAGGGACGAAAGGAATAATGCACAGCAGCATAAGGTATAACTAAAAGATATTTAAAAAAAAAATTGAAAGATGAAAGATATTAAAATTAATAATACAAAATTTATTTTTCATATGTGGGAAATTATTTTATTTTTTTGAGGGGATTTGGGAAATTAGAATTAATGTCATGTTTACTTCACCTTGAAAAAAAATATATTGAGTAAAATAATTTCAGTTTAGTAAATTTAATTTAGTTCAATAAAAATAATTTCAGTTCTGTAAAAATAAATTCAAATCAGTAAAATTTAGTAACTCTAAAGAAAAAATATGATAGAAAATTAATAAAAATAATTTTAGTTAAACAAAAATAATGTGAATTGAATGGGGTCTAAATGTCTAATAAGGTAGTTATTAAATGATTTTGAAAAAAATAATTAGAAAGTATATTTTTAAAGGAGGTGTTAAATACCGCCATTCAAAATGATCAAAATCACCAACATTTAGTGTGCATTGTTGACTCGAATGAACAATACAAGAGGGGGATGAATTGTATTGTAGAGGAAGTAGGGTAATTTTTGCGGAATTTATAAAGGAACTCAAACAAAAACTAAAAGTGCAAAGAGAGATTTTACGTGGAAAACTTCTTGGCCCTAATCAAGAAGAAAAGCCACGACCACAAGCGATTTTAAACTCAACTCTTAATAATAATAGGGCAAACAACCTATTACAAATTAAGACTCTAAACTCAAGTTCCTCAACGAACTTAAGCTCCCTTCAACTGATCCCTCAATCAGTTGATCTCTCTAACTCTCTCTTTCTCTTTGCTTCACTCAAAACAATAAAACACTCTTAGAGTTTCCCGAAACTCTATCCCAATACAACTCAAGATTAAACTCTAAATTGCTAAGTACAAAGACACTCACGGACTTAAGTGGATTATGACTCTTTTGAAAGCTAAAAGATTGTAATGCTCAAGTATGTTTTTCTCAACAAAAAACCGAATCTATTTATCGAAAAATTAGAAATTTAAAAAAATCGTTGCCTCAATCACCACTCAACCACAACTCCCTTAAAACTAGGAAGTGCAAGGAGTGGGATCTTGGGCAGCAAGTAAATCGAAATACTAGGAAGTGGTTTTATTGCTTCCTAAATTATCTCAACTTATTTTGACAAAGTAAAACACACGTTTAAGAGAATATTTTTCCAAAACAGATTTTCCAAAGAATAGGATAAAAATAAAACAGAAAATCCTTTCACAAAAGATATTTTAACTTAAAAGATATTTTCGAAAATTAACAAGTTAAAATATGGAAAATAAAATCTTTATCATAAATAAATTTAAATCCACTTAAATCCTAAATTATCATTGTATTTAGCATAAATACAAGAAACCTAAAATAAAAGATAAAATACATTAGACTCCTTGAAACTCTGAGAAGCTTCGACTTTGAAGCTTCAGTTCCTCACACAAGGAACTCTCCTTCGAAGCTTCAACTTTGGAGCTTCAATTCCTCACTAAAGGAACACGACTTCTGATTGACTTCTTTATCCTCCCATAGCTGACTTAGATCTTGTTCCACGCTCCCTTCTTACTCAAGAATTTCATAGCATAAACCTGTCATTAATCAAAGCTAAAAACGAAAGTTAAACTTATATGGGTTTGCTTAGGTTCTTTAAGTCATCATCAAAACTTAAGGTCAACATGCATTGACAACCATACCCTTAGTACTTCACCACTATCTTCTCTCTTGCCACCAATCACAAACACCTTGACACCACCACTCCAATTGACGACTAACAACCACCACCACACTGACCGGCGACCCACCACATCCCCCTCAAAGATGACCCACCATCTTCCCTCTTTGGCGGAAAGGTGGTGGTTTTTTTTTCTGACAACCGTACCAACCGGATCTGAAAACCGGTTACCGGGCACGATAATCGATTTTGGGCTTCAGTTACCATGAAATCGGTTAAGGTGCACGGTAACCGAAGCCCAAAACCGGTTAAGAGGTTGCTTGAAATAAAAAAATATATATATTAAACCACCTGGGTCATCACAGAGGAGGGTATGGTGGGTCGCCGATCAGGGTGGTGGTGGTCATCGCAGATCAGAATGGGTTGTGGGTCATCGGGAGGATAAGGGGTGGTGAAGTAATAAGGGTACAATTGTCCATTCACACCGAATGTTGGCGGTGGTGATCATTTTTGTTGGCGGTGTTTAGCAATTCACTTTTTAAAAATATGAAAATAGAGGAAGGGGCACATTGGTGCTTTCAACAGGGTCGTCTTAAACATTTAGGGGCCCTGTGCTATTTACACAACTTTATAGTGTTAATTTCGTTCGCTAATTTTTATTTTTTATTTTTTTATACAATAGCTAAACACCGTAAATCGTTAGCTATTTTTTTAAGTCACAAATAATATTTGAAGTAGGTACTCTACTTCATACGAATATTCGGTTAGACACTTTTACATTCATTACTATTTAAAAGAATAGGTAGTTCACTTTTAAAATGACATAAATATAGACAATATGATATATACTATGTAGAGATAATTATTAAGATTTTGGGGAAAAAAATTAAATAAATAAAATTAAGCATAATAAATACGGACTACTCTTAGAAAGGGAAGGAAAGAAAAAGAAATTATAAAGTGAATGCATGCACACTCACACTTGCACAGACAACGAGATTCAATCTTTCCCCCTTAAAGATCTTACAAAGATCTTATATCAACTATGGGCTTGTTTACTTCAACTTAATTTCAGTTCTATTCAGCTCCAATTAGTTCAGTTCAATTCAGTTCAGCTCCTAATTTTCTTCTCTCATAAAATATTCATTTCAGCTCAATTCAGTCCAGTTCAGCTCCAATCAGTTCAGTTCAGTAAATGTGAACAGGCCATATGCCAAGTTCAATTACATGTTCTTATTAGCGTTGATTTTTTTTTTTTACTATACTAATCTAGTTTGTCAGACTTTTGGGGCTCCAAAAATTGTGAGACCCTGTGCTATTGGGCTGTTTGCACATCCTAATAGCCGACCCTAGTTTTCAAGTGATGTCGTGAAAAATTAAGATTATAAGTAGCTCAATGTTCAATGCTTATAGCTTCTAATGGAATAAAATTTTCTAGACCTTTCCTCAAAAATAAAATGTAATATTCTTATAGCTTGCTTGGTGAAAAGAGGAGGATAGCTCATGCTTGTTGCTAAACATAAAGACGGTGATGGATGGTAAATTGGTAATCTCTCTCCAGTGTCCTCACATAAAATACTAGGGGTCATTGATGCCAAAAAGGCTACTTAATGGAGATGTGATTGGTTTGCTTAAAACAAAAGTTAAAAACTCATAATTATGATGCTATTAGGCCTTGTTCACTTCACTTTATAAAAAATATAATATTTAGTAAATATAATTTCATTTTATTAAAAATAAGTTTAGTTCAGTAAAAATAAGTTCATTTCAGCACAAAACAATAACTTTAAAAAACAAATATAACAGAAAATCAACAAAAATAATTTTAGTTTAATAAACATAATTTCAATTTAGCAAAAATAATTTTAATTCAACAAAAATCAGTAACTTTAACAAAAATTTAAATAGAAAATTAGTACAAAAAAAAATCAATTCAGTAAAATAAAGGAAAATTTGATATTTGCTAAGCTACCAGCGAAAGCACCTTGCTTCACATTTACAACCGCTTTAATTTTTTATTTTATTTACCTACCACCCAAATCCCAAATTTATAGATATTGCTACCACTTAATGGAATTCAGATTCCGTTAAGTGGGACCCATTATTTCATTAAATAATAATTTAATTTATTAAAAAAATTAAAAAAAAAACTTTTTGAAAAAATTTCCCAACCATCTCCCCCTCCCCGTCAGCCACCAGCCCACCATCCCTTTCCATGTGTCGGATTTCGTTGTTCGTGCCGACGCCCAAACGGTCCCCCGATGCCGACGAACTCCACCACAACCATTTCCCAAAGTCCACGCTGCCCGAAACCATCCTGAACGTGTGGATTCGAAACCTTAAAACCCGTTTAAGGTGGTTTTGGGGAATGGGTTTAAGTATTGGTGCTGGTTTTTGGGTGGGGGAAGGGGAGGGGGTCGATTCAGGTTGGGGAAAGGGAAAATTGGTCGTTTTCGGCTCGATTCAGGTTGGGGAAAGGGGAAATCAGTCGTTTTCGGCTCGATTTAGGTTAGGGAAAGGGGAAATCAGTTGTTTCCGGTTAGAGGAAAGGGGTCGATTTGGGGGAAAGGGAAACAATTTTTTGGGTGTTGTGGTGGTCGGGGAGACGCCGAGAGTTCGGGTCGTGATGAGGGATCGCGACGGAGGGCATTGAGGGGGGATTCCATGCGCAGCCGCGCGTTTGTGTCTAACGTCGTTTTTGCAGTGGTGTGGTGGTGTGGTTTGGACAAGTTGGTCATGGTGGTTTTGGGGTAGCGTTGATGGGGTAAATGGATGGGTGAGGTCGCCAGCGTTAGAGGATCATTTATACGTCGGCGGTGATGAGGAAATGAAGGTTAGATGGTGGCAATGAGGGTGGTTGAAGATGGAGCAGTGGCTGGAAGGTGGCATTGAGGTGGTTGGACGGTGGTTTTGGTCCCCACTAACGGAAATGGTAACGACACAAGGCTAAAGGTAATGATATCTATAACTTTGGGATTTGGGTGGTAGTAAAATAAAAAAAAAAATTAAAGCGGTAGTAAATGTGAAGTAAGGTGTTTTTACCGGTAGCAAATGTCAAATTTTCCTAAAATAAGTGTCACTTCAGCAAAAATAATTTCAGTTCAGTAAAAATAATTTTAATTTAGAAAAAATAAGATGAAATGAACGAGTTTTTAGAGAAAGATTGGTGTTGCCT